ATCCCTTTGAATTCGTGTTTTTGCATTTTTTGGGGTAAATACCTAGTAGTGAGATTGCTGGATTGTAGGGTAGTTCTATTTTTAGCTTTTTGAGGAACCTCCATACAGTTTTCCAGAATGGCTGTACCAGTTCACGTTCCCACCAACAGTGCACGAGTGTTCCTTTATTTACTTAATTTTCTATGAAATTATCATAATTTAATCTCATATACTCCCAAAATTGCATCTCAGTACATCCAGGCATATCAGATATCTATCAAGTTTGTCATGTTGAGGAGATGTCTTTCAGAGCTCTTGGGCCTGATCCAATGTAGATATTTTGTTTTACTCCTAGAATTTCTGTGTGCCACTCTCCTGGGCATCCCCAGTCCCCCTCACCAATTGAATTTCAGTTTCCTGTGTCCCAGGTCTTCTCTTATTTTTAGTGAACTTCATTTTGGTAGAGCATAACTTCCTGAAGCTTTCTGAGAAAGGAAAATTTTTGAGATATTCAATGTCTGAGAATATCTTAATGACACCCTCACATATTTGATAATTTGGCTTAGTAGGGTGGATATCATTTTCCCGTAGACTTTTGAGGGCACTGCTCCAATATCTTCTCGTTTCCAGGGTTGCTGTTAAGAAGTCCAAAGTCACTGTGATTCCTGGGTTTTTATATGTGGTTTTTTTTTTTTTTTCTTTTTTGGAAATTTGGAATTTGTGTAATCTTTTCTTTGTCTTTATTTTTGTGAAACCTCTACCATGATGTCCCTTCGTTTGAAACTATTTTATGCCTTTTCCTTGGTACTCACTGGGCCCTTTCAGTTTGGAAATGTATGTCCTTGACTTCTGGAAATGGTACTGAGTTGTTTCACTGACGATTTCTTCCCCCTGATTTTCTCTGTTCTCTATTTCTTAAACTCTGATATTTGGCTGTTGGGTTTCTCAGATTGGCTTTAATTCTCTTTTCTTTCTGATTTTTCTTTTTATCCTTGTGGGAAATTTATCTTTCTGAAACATTAAAAAAAACTTTATCTTCCATCTACCAATTATTTAATATCTGCCCTTGTACTTTTAATCTTCAATAGCTGTATTTTTCTTCTAATAGCACCTATATCTTTATAGCATACTGTTCTTGTTTCATGGGTACAGTGTCATCTTTTATGTCCCTAAGGCTATTCATGGCCATTTGTTTTCCTCCCTGGTGCTTTTTGGGGGTTTGGTCATTTGTTTAGTTCATTCTCTTTTATGTTGGAGGCTTTCTTCAGGTGTTCCGTGATCCTTGATTGTCTAAAACACCAAATGGAAGCCGTGACCCATGAGTAGAGCTTATCTGCTGAGGGCTTCCCTATAGCATTACCTGTTAACTGGGGAACCCCCAGGGTCAGAATATTTAGATCATTCCTCCTGGTTTGGTCATGTTCCCCAAAGAAGGATCTTTCCAAGTATTAGCTGAGGGAGAGGCCTGCCTTCTAGCATTCTGGGAACTGGGAGGGGGAGAAGGTTGGGACTCTCAGCTTTAGTACTGGCCCATGCCCTTTATTACGCCTGGGGATAAACTTCCAGTCTTCTCTCAGAGAGCGGGAGGGAGAGGAAGTGGGTATCCAACTGTTTCATAAACAGACTTCCAACCAGCCCTCTTCCTCTTAGCCCCACCTCTACTCTCCCACCCAGCCGCCTCATATCCCAATTCCTGAGCCTGTTCTGCCATGTAAATAGGTAAAGCTTCTCAGCTTCTCTAGCTGCAGGTTGAAGGTTTAGCTTTCTGGAGTCTGCTATGAGATTTACCACTAGTCTATATGCTCTCCAGCTTCCCAAATTCTGCTGCTGTTTTCTCTTCTGTCCTCTCTGTCCTTAGAGTTTACATTAAAAAAAAAAAAAAGTCATTTGAGAGAGGAAGCAAAGCTATATGTGTGTTCTAGCCATCCTTACCAAGAAATCTTTTTTTAAATTGAGCTATAATTCACATACCACAATATTCAAGCTTTTAAAATTGTACAACTCAGTGGTTTTCCATATATCCGTAAAGTTGTGTAACCATCAACACTATCTAATTCCAGACTATTTTCATCACCCCAAAAGGAAACCCTGTACCCGTTAACAATCCTTCTCTATACCCCCTCCTGCCCCCTCCCTACCTCCAGCCCCTGGCAGCCACTAATCTACCTTCTGTCTCTATGGATTTGCCTATTCTAGACATTTTGCAGAAATAGAATCATACAATATGTAGCCTTTTATGTCTGGTTTATTTCATTTAGCATAATGTCATCCAAATGGAAACATTTTGTGGCATGAATCAGTACTTCATTGTTTTTTAAAAACAACAGTTCTGTTGAGATTTTAACTCCTCTTTATGGCTAAATAATATTCTATTGTATGGATATGCCACGTTTTATTCACTCACTCATCAGTTGATGGCTATTTGGATTGTTTTCACTTTTGGACTACTAGGAATAATGGCACTATGAATATTGGTGTACAAGTTTTTGTGTGGGGGGTATGTTTTCATTTCTCTTGTGTAGAGATCTAGGAGCAGAATTACTGGGTCACATGATAACTCTTTAATTTTTTGAGGAATTATCAAATTGTTTTTCAAAGTAGCTGTACCATTTTATTTTATTTTCCATTTTATTGTTTTAAAGTGAACTCTGTCCCCAACGTGGTGCTCGAACTCACAACCCTGAGATCAAGAGTCACATGCTCTATGGACTGAGCCAGCCAGGTGCTCCAGCTGCACCATTTTACATTCCCACCAGCAGTAATGACAGTTCCACTTTTTCCACATCTTGACAACACTTGTTATTGTCTGTCTTTTTGATGGTAGCCGTCACAGTGGGTGTGAAGTGGCACCTTATGGTGGCTTTGATTTGCATTTCCCCAATGACTAGTGATGGGGAACATCTTTTCATGTGCTTATTGACCATTTGCACATCTTTGGAGAAAAATCTGAAATCCTTTGCCCATTTGGAATCAGGTTGTCTTGTGACTATTGAGTTCTAATATCTCTTCATATATTCTGGACATTAGATCCTTATCAGATATATAATTTGTAAATATTTTCTCCTATTTTATGGGCTGACTTTTCACTTTCTTAATAGTGATCTTTGAAATACACACACTATTTTTCTTTGTCACTTGTCTTTTAAGAAATGTTTTTCAAAAGTCTTATTTTAAAAATAGCTTTATTGAGATATAATTGACACATAATAAACTTTACGAATTTAAAGGGCACAATTCGGCAAGCTTTGACAAGTGCATACATCATGAAAATAGCTCTACAATCAAGATAATGCGCCCCACAGTTTCTTTGTGTCCCTTTGTCATCCTTCCTTTTTGTCCCTTCTTGCACCGCCCCCCACCCCCATCCTCAGGTAACTACTCATCTCTTCTCTATCACTGTGAATTAGTTTGCATTTCCTAGAATTTTATCTAAATGGAATCATACAGTATATACTCTTTGGTTCTTGCTTCTTTCATATAGCATAATTATTTTGAGATTCATCCAGGTGGTGTGAGTATCAATAGTTCATTCCTTTTTATTGCTGAGTAGTATTCCATTGTATGAATGAACCACAGTTTGTTTATCTAGTCACCTGTTGATGGACATTTGGGTTGTTTCCAGTTTGGGGCTATTATGAACCTTTGTGCTCCAGTTTGTATGGATACACGATTTCATTTTTCTTAATTATCCAGAAAATATCTGGTAAATATTTGAGTAACAGTTTCATTTCTTGAGCATCTCCTATGGTACCAGGCTCTGTGCTAAATGCTTATTTAATCTTACATCGCTGCAAGTTTAGTGTTATTCTCATTCCTTTCCAAAGGAGAAAACCAATTCAGAAAGGTCAGGGGGCTGGCTCAAGTCATGCGGCTAGGGTCTTTCTGACTTGGGATTTGAACACAGGTCTGGTGCATCGAAGGCCATGTCTGCTTTTTCCCCTCCCCTCAAAATACATATACTATCTCCCTTGATTCTTGAAATCTAAGACTCATTGAATCTTCAAACCACAGAGTTTTTACTTTTATTTATTTATTTTTAAAGATTTTATTTACTCATTCATGAGAGACAGAGAGAGAGAGAGAGAGAGGCAGAGGCAGAGGGAGAAGCAACTCCCCTTGGAGCAGGAAGCCCAATGCGGGACTCAATCCCAGGACCCTGGACTCACCACCCGAACCGAAAGCAGATGCCCAACTGACTAAGCCACCCAGGTGCCCAGACCACAAAGTTTCTAAATTAAAAACTACTAAAATTACAAAAAAAAAAATTAACGCAAATTTTGAAATACACAGAAGACATAAAGATTAATAAAACAAATATGATAGATAAGCCACAAAATAGTAAGAAGTAAAACCTTGCCAACATAGTTAAATCTCCCTTGGGTGCCCTTTCCAGGCCCTCTGCAGAGACCCTCACTGTCCTGAATTTGAACCACATGGTTTGGACATCAGCATGACACAAGAGCAGAGAGGTTGAAACCATGGATTCCCCACTTCTTGGATGCATGATCCTATGCGAGCACATAGCCTCTCAAAGCCTCAGCGTCCCTACCTATAAATGGAAATAATAAAATAAAACAGGCCTCAAAGGGTCACTATAGAGATTCAATGAAACAAAGCATGTAAGACTATTAGCACGGTGCCTGGCACAAAGGAAGGCTTAGTAAGTGGCAGCAAATGTTAGTACCAGAGCCTTAGAACCGTGGACTCAGGTTCATAAAATGCCCAAGTTAGAAGGGAGCATGGGGAACACTGAGCGTATCATTCCCCACCCCATCCCCGACGTTCGGCGCCCACTTTTCAGTGGGGAAGCAGGGGAGACAAAGGCATTTTCTGTTTCAAAGTGATTTTCCGTCTAGGGAGTGAATGTTTGCCTGTTTCTTGCAATATCCAAAGTGCCTTATGATTCCAAAGGTCTGCCCAGAAACAAGTGATGAGGGCCCTGAGTAGCCAATGGAAGTATACTGGCCTTTCTACCTGTCTGGGGAGCCCCCGCCTCCCCATCCTGTCCTGTTAAAGGCAGCTTTGCCCAAGTGGGGGTATTTCCAGCTTTGTAGTTTTCACTTCCACTTTTACCAGGTGGGCGGAGTGGCCTCCGGTGGACAAATCAGATTCCTCCTCAGCTCCAACTTCAAGAGGTAAGCCAGGGGCTCAGGGTCCCAGACACCCAGGAGGCGGCAGCAGCAGCAGAAGCAGGAAGTGTGGGGAAGACCAGAGGCCAGAACCATGGAAGACCAGCGCGACCTCATCTCCAACCACGAGCAGCTGCCCATGCTGGGCCAGCGCCCCGCCGCTCCAGAGAGGTATGTGTGAGCTGCAGGAGAGAGCACACAAATCCTGGACCACACAGACGTGCCTGGGTGCTGTGGGAGGAGCACGAGACAGGGAGCCACGGGAGGGATGGATTCAGGCCCTGCCTCTGGGTGATTTTGAGCAAGTCTCTGGCCTGCTCTGGGCTTCTGTCCTCCCTCCAATAAAATGAGGGAGCTTCTCCAGGGCAGGGGTCTTAAATTTCTTTGTATGATACACTTCTGTCCTCAAAAATCGTAAGAGAGCCCTGGATTCTCCCCCTTGACTGACACACAGTATCAGGGGCTTCCCAGACCCCCTGAAGCTAGACTGCGAATCCTAGGTTAGAAACCTTGGACTAGATTTGGAAAATGTTATGGATCCTAGATGGAGAAACAGAGTTTCTCAGAGAGGATGGTAGAAGCTGCTCATCACAGTGGAGTTTCTCCCTAATCACCACGGATAGGTGTATGTGTTTGTATCAGGGAAGTGTGAGTAGATGGACGCATCTGCCATTACAGGAGGGATTGAGAGATGCTGGGAGGAGTCAGGAAAAGGCAAGGGTGGGGGCTCTGGTTAAATTTTTAGAAGGGATTGAAGGTTGATGTGGGTCATGCCCTGCCTTTGTCCCTCTCCCTTTCAGCAAGGGGCCAGCACAGCCATCCAGGAGGACCCCAGGACCCCTTTCCCAGGCCCAGGATTGTCTCATCCAGGTGTTTCCCTGGGGAAAAAAAAAAAAAGAAAAGAAAAGAAACAGGGTTAGAATGCGGCTACCCCATAGCCCCACTCTCCCCAGTCTTCAAAAAGTAATTTCCAAATTGGGGCGATTGGCTGGCTCAGTCAGTAGAGCATGAGACTCTTGATCTCAGGGTTGTGGGTTTGAGCCCCATGTTGGACGTAGAGATGACTTAAAAATCTTAAAAAAAAAAAAAAAGTAATTTGCAAATTATAGAAACTCAGGGCAGTGATGTCAGCTGTTGCCAGGCAGAAAGAGGTTTGGGAGAGACACTTAGAGATGTCATGAGGAAGTGCATTCTGCAGGACCAGATATAGACCATCAGAGCATTCCTGTGAAAACCCCAAGGAATCCCAGGGCTCGGAGGGCTGACTCTCCTGTGAGGGCTAGATTCTGGTCCAGGTTCTGCTGCTGTCACATGTGACTTGGACAAATTGCTACTTCTTTCTGGGTCTCAGTAATAATAAAAACAATGACACTAGTCGTGATAATAGTTCCCGTTCACTGACTACCTGTCACCAGTCCTCAGCCAGGGTTAGTAATTCCTATGATTAGTTATGTGCTAAACCCAACCCTAACTCTCACAGTAGCCCTATATAAGTCTGGTACTTTTATCATCCCCATTTTTACATAAGAGAAAATTGAGGCTTTGTTAGCAGCTTACTGAAGTTATCACAGGTAGTGAGTATTGGAGTGAGCTACTTAGAATTTGAATCCAGGACTAGCCTGACTTCAAAATGTGAGCCCACTCTACCATCTGGCCTCCTTCTAGAGGCAGGATTTGCAGAGAGGGCAGGAAGGGCCACGCAGTGAGTTGCAGACCTAGTGCGAGCTCAGTGTACAGAGAGGGTGCCCCCTCCTCAAATCCTTGCCTGACTCTCCTTTTAGTTCAGGGACTGCTTCTAAAACTGGCCCTGGTGTGTGCTCAGTCCATTCCAGCCTTGAGCCTGTTTCTCAGACCCCTTTGTGAACACTTCTGCTTCGCAACATTTGTATCATGGTTCCTGCTAGTTCTGGTTGGCTCCTGACTTCAGCCAATTATTATTATTATTTTTCATTCAAGAAGGAGGCCGTGGAAAGGAGGAAATGAAGAGAGAGGTGGCAAGAGTTGGCAGTCATCCAGAACCAGGGGACCCACATTCAAGGGGCAAAAAGAGGAAGGAAACCAGATGCTAAAGTTAACTATTAACTCCCTTGAGAGTAGTACTCAGTGCTAACTGTGTACCTAGGTATGGAGCCAAGAGCTTTACCCTCGTGATCTTATTTTATATAACAATCCTTTGAGTAGTTGTTCCTACTTCAAGTTACTCGGAGGGGTTGACTTACCCCAGCTCCCTGACCTAAGGGGGTGGCAGAGCCAGGATTCCACTCCAGGTCTCATCTCCAATACGACTCTGTAGATTCTTAGGCATTATGAGAAACTGAGGTTCAGAGAAGGTATAGTGGAAGGTAGAACTGGGACCTGATTGGGGTTGCGGCGGGGTGAGCATGTAGATAATGAACTGGAGAGCTTGAACCCAGGCAAGAGCCGGGCTTGGGTGGATGTTCACAGAAGCCAGGCCACCCCTGTTCCTGGAGAAGGCCAAGAAGTGGTACTTGTTTTCCCCTCCTGTCTGGTCTCCTCCTTTTCCCCACGCCGGGTTTTTGCTTTCTCCTAACAGAACAACAATCTTTTGGCCTGGACCTTGGCCCAGAACACGCAGAGGACTGGCAAGCAGAGAGCCAATGAGAATGAGCTATGTGTGTGATGTCATGAGTTACTAGGCAGAAGGGTCTCCTGGAGTTTCCCAAACTGTCCTTGTTGGTTCCTGGAGTAGGCAGTGTGTAGTCTCATGACGAGTTTCTAGTGGGGTTCTGGTAGTCCCACCCCCGGAGTGAGGTGGGAGAAAACAGGCCAGGAACTCTCAGGGTCCTGGGGCAGGATCCTTACATTCCCCAAGCTGTGACATATTCATGTGCCCCCAAAACCGTATCCAAGGCCAACAACTCCAAGAACTACCTGAGGTCTGGCCACCCCTCCCTGTGCAGCCAACTCGTTTAGAGAATGTGAGACATTCTCCCAGTCACACAGGCTCAGGCACCATACTCCTACTGAAACCCCCCCCCGGGTTGGTAGTACCATCTGAGATACTTGTGTGGTCACAGTCGGATTTTGCTTCAAAGAAGAAAACCACCAAATCCTAGAATTGCTGAGGTGAGAGGCACCCACATGACAGGCCCGGAGAATGGCAGAGACTTGCTCAAAGACACGGGGAGTTTGGGGTGAGGATGTGTCCCCAGAGGGAGTGGTGCCCGACTCTGCTCCAGTCTGACATCATCCACTGCCCCCAGCCTGCTCCTAAAATGTCAAGGCCTCACTTCTCGTTTTCAGGTGGGCCACATGCTCTGCTGTCCAGGGCCCACTTCCTTCCCTTTTCTCTGATTTCACTGCAAGGGTTGGGGAGGTAGGGGGGTGAAACCTGTTCCCCTTGAGGGCGGTCCTGATGCTCAGGAGACCCCCCTGGCAGAAAGAACCCGGGGAGACCATCCATGTCAAGCCCTTGTAGCACAGGTGGGACGAGGCCCAGGAAGGACAAGGCACTCATCTCTGGCTCTTCCCCACTCATCCTAGGTCCAGGGGCAGCGCTAGGATTTCTGCTCAGGACTGTAGGGAGCAGCAGTGGTTAGAATTGTGGGGCTGGGGTAACGTCTTCGAGCTGTGTGTCCATAGGCACTTGTTTATGTGTGCGTGTTCGGGGTAGCTGAGGGGGTGGAGGAGCCGACGGAAATGGGGGGCATCCCCCTGCTCTCAGTCAGCCCTTGGGGCAGCCACGTCTGTGGACCCTCCTCTGACCTACCTCCTGCCCCCCAACAGCAAGTGCAGCCGAGGAGCTATGTACACAGGCTTTTCTGTCCTGGTGGCTCTGCTCCTGGCTGGCCAGGCCACCACCGCCTACTTCCTGTACCAGCAGCAGGGCCGGCTGGACAAGCTGACGGTCACCTCCCAGAACCTGCAGCTGGAGAACCTGCGCATGAAGCTCCCCAAGTGTGCGTCCCCCACCTCCATCCCGACCTCCCCCACCCCGCCATCCTTCCCTCGAGACCCCATCCCTGCACCCAGCTGGGCCCACTCTCTTCTCCCTCGGGTCTGGGATTCCAGCCCCTCCTCACTGGGTTGATCTTGGTCCCCAATCCGAGTGCTCTCTTCCCTGGGCACTGGGGCCACACTCATACTGTACCTCCTGTTCCCACAGCATCCAAGCCTTTGAACAAGATGAGGGTCGCCACCCCCATGATGATGCAGGCGCTGCCCATGCCAGGCCTGCTCCAGGGGGTAAGGACAACCGGAGGGCAGTGGAACGGGGAGGTGTCATCTAGCCTGGATGGAGGGCGAAGGCCAGGGGAGGATGGCTGAGCCAGGAAAAGCCCAGCTTGGCGGGGGGGGGGGGGGGGAGCTGTTGGGGGAGGACAGGGCCTGCCTTAGGAAGAAGAGGGCTCACAGGGGTGGGGGAGGAAAGAGCCTCTTGGGGCCATCCCTGGGATGTTTACAAAATGCTTCTCGTTTCCCAGAGCATCTCACGGCCCCCTCCCTTCTCAAAGCCCTTGATGTCCTATATGGGTAATGTTTCTGTCCTAAAACAATCTGCTGTCCACAAAGCCCTGGGCAGGAAAGCTTCTGCAGATTTGACCACTAAGGACGTTGACGCAGTAAAGGAAAGTGACTGGCTTGAGCTCTCCTACTTGGGCTCCTACTCCGAGGTGGCAGAGATGGGCCTGTTCCTGTTGAGCAGCTGAACTCTGGACTCCTACCAAGACCCGGAGCTGCTGGCTCTGTTGCAGGGCCCCTCCTCTGTGGGCCGGTACCGGTAACCCCCGTTTCTTTCCTTCCACAGCCCATGCAGAACGCCACCAAGTACGGCAACATGACACAGGACCACGTGATGCACATGCTTCTGGTGAGTGGGACCCCATGGGTGGCCCTGCCTGCCCACCCATGGTTCCCGCGACACCACACTCCAAGGCCTGCACAATTCTGGCCTCACCAGATTAGCGAAAGAATGCCAATGTGGCCCTTAACTGTCATATGTAGTCTAGCCCTGCCATCTGCTCGAGTGTTTGAGATGGAGAATCTGAGGCCCAAAGCCCAGAAGTGACTAGCTCAAGATGCCCATTTTCCCTTCCCAAGTGTCTGCTGTGTGTCTACTCCGCACCAGGTGCTGTGCAAGGCTCTGGGCTCACACTGGGAAGCAATCAGACTCTGCTTCCAACCCCACAGGGGTCCCAGGCTGATGTGGGAGATAGACAAGTGACCAGGTGATAAGGGACATGCAGAGGAAAGCAGTAGAGGACCCAACTGAGTGGGGGGGAGGGCGGGGGTGTTGATGAGGGGAGATCTGGAGGATGAGTAGGAGTCTGCAAGGAATGGAAGACTGGGGGTTATGGGTAGAAGCGGGCCTGGAACCTGGGTCTCCGAACTCCCAGCCCTAGGATCACATAGCCGTGCAGGTGGAAGGCCCTTGCTGCCTCCCCCCTCCTTGGCTCCATTATGGCAGAGGTGCAGGGGAACGCGGATTGCACATTTCACCTTGCCTGCCAGAGAGCTCTTTTTAGACCTTCCTTCCTGCCTTGCTACCCCACAGGAGGCTGACCCCCTGAAGGTGTACCCGAAGCTGAAGGGGAACTTCCTAGAGAACCTGAAACACCTTAAGAACACCATGGGCCCCCTGGATTGGAAGGTCAGCAGCTTCCCCTGCGCTGGCCCCCTCTCATCCCTGACATCTAGGACAGGGCTGGGAGAAGATGCTGTAGGGCTGGGTCGGGGAAGCTATCTGCGGGAAGCTGGAGGTGGTGCACCGGCGCCAACAAAGCCACCGACGTGAAGAGGGCTCGGAGTTGAGGAACCACCTCGACCAAACCCTATGGGTCTCTAAGAGGGAGCCTGGCTGCAGCTGGGCTCTGGGGTGTTGGGTCCCTCTTGGACCCTCCATGTCTGTCCCCAGGGCCAAAGTCAGGCAGGGTTGGAGGGGGCTGTGGAGCCTGACCCCTTGCCTCTATCCCACTAGGTCTTCGAGAGCTGGATGTATCAGTGGCTCCTGTTTGAAATGAGCAAGAACTCCCTGGAGAATAAGCCCGAGGTTCCACTAAAAGGTATGGGGAGCAGGAGCCTTGGGATGCCAGGGCTTCTGGAAGCTCCCTCAGGGCTCTCTGGGAGCCGCAGTGGGACTGCCCCAGCCTCTCTCAGCTCTCACTCCTGTCGCTCCTGCCTGTTGCTTCTGGGCTTGGCTGCTCCCCCTCAGCACTCCCTTTAGAGGCTGACCTCCCTTGTGGAGGCTGGCACTGCACACATGGGGCCTGGAGACAAGGACCCGACCCATCCCAGGTGTCATCACAGTGACCCCACGCAGCTTCGAGTGAGGGGGCTGGGCAGGGCTCAGGACCCCACCTGCCGAGGGACCTCCCCGAGCTCACACGGCCGGTACACGCCAGACAGGAGGACCTTGGGGTTTTTCTATCTGAGGGACAATGTATGCTAGGATTTTCAGCCCTAAAGCCTCAAAGAGGGCCATGTCTTCCTCCTGGCACTAATTTGCCACACAACTTTGGGCAAATGTCTTCCCTCTAGGCTTCAGTTTGGGGAGTGGAGGGTAAGGGGCCCGGCCCATCCCATCAGAGGCCTCCCGATTTTCTCAACATAGAGTCATAGAAGGCACCTTCGATGCCAGGGTGACCAACTCCCAGCTGATGTTTGAATCCCTCTACCACATCCTCAAAGCAAGGCCCATTTGTACCTGGATAACTCCAGTAACAGAGGCTCAGACTTACCAAGATGCCCATTGCTTTTCCCTAGAAATAAGAATCACAGGTGCAATTCCAAACTTCAATAGACATTGAGTGTCAGAAGAAACCGAGTTCTGGGATAAGCTTACTTCCACTTTGATCTCACACCTTGTTGGTCCAGGCCTTAGTTTCCCCACCTGTGCCAGGGGTAGAGTGAGCACAGCCCCGTGGGCAGAAGGCACTAGGCCCACGGCAGCGGTAGATGGATGTCTGGTTCTGCCGAGATTCTGGCCCAGGGCTTGCTCACTCACTGTCTTCACCATGCCTGTCGCTTCAGTACCGACCAAGTGCCAGGAGGAGGTCAGCCGCATCCCCGCCGTCCACCCTGGCACGTTCAGGCCCCAGTGTGATGAGAACGGCCACTATAAGCCGCTCCAGTGCTATGGGAGCACCGGCTATTGCTGGTGCGTCTTCCCCAACGGCACCGAGGTCCCCCACACCAGGAGCCACGGGCACCATAACTGCAGTGGTAAGCAGTGCCTACGTGGCCAGGGAGTGTCAAAGGAGCAGAAGGACCCAGAAGGCCCTCCTGGCACATGTGGGGCAGCCCCTCAGCCGCCCCTTCATCCACCTACCCATGCAGTCGTCTGTCCATCGGCCCTCTCCTTACATCCACTCATCTGCTCACTCATCTGTCCTTCCTTCCTCCATCTGCGACGCTCACGCAGCCAGGCACCGCCCACGGTGCATCCAGGAGTCCTACAGGCCCACCCATCTCATGTCATCGCTCCCTCCCTTGGCCTGCCCCGAGCACACCTTAGTGCTGCCATCCAGCCAGAGTCCTGCCTCCACCGGGCACGGGGCCGGTGGCCAGGCTGGGAGGAATGACCCCAGCCTCTCGCCAATGGGTATGGGAGGCTGGACTGCCAAGTGACACGTGGCCTTGCTGTTCCCTTGCAGAGCCACTGGACATGGAAGACCTGTCATCCGGGCTGGGCCTGACCAAGCAGGACCTGGGCCAAGGTAAGGGCCCCTGCAGGGGTCATCCGGGCCCCAGCAGCTTATCCCCTGAGGGGCCAAATCCCTCACGGGCCCTCTGGCGCAGCATGACCCCGGGCCATTCTCCAACCTCCCCGGGACATCCATTTCACACCCGAGGACCACTACTAGGGGCTGTGGGGGTGCGAGAGTCCTCAACTGCCCTGAGATCCCAGGGTGCTGGGAAGGGGCAGGGCCAACAGGTGACCCCCCACCCTAACCTGCGGCTTCTCTTCTCTGTAGTGGGCATATGAGACAAGCAGACGCAGATGCCGGCACGCAGCCCGCCCCGCATGGCCTCTGCCTCCTTGCTCCTCTCCACCCCCAGCCCTAGCCCCCCTCCTTCCCTTACACAGTCTCCCACTCTGCGCCTCCTTCCACGACACCCTGGCACCTGGCTCTCCATCAGCCTTAGACACAAGTCACGTCAGAGAGCACGGAATGTAATGATGCAGGAGGGTCCTGCTGCCTCACCCGTCATCCATCAGCAGGAACGCATGGCCCAAGGAGGTAGACCAGGAGCTAGGCTGACCCCCATTTCAGCCTCCAACACGGAGCACCAAGATCCAGGCCCACAGACAAGATGGAAGGCGCAGGGAGAGGGGGCAGTGCTCCCCCACACCCAACACGTTAGCTGTTCCTGCCCTTTCGGCCTTGCCTTTCTAGCCTACCTAGCTGCGGGGAGGAGCCACCCTTCCCCTCTCCAGCAGCACTCCCCCAGGAAGAACCAGCCTCTCCACAACCCCCTCCCTCTTCCCTCCATGCGGCCAAGCTTGTCACTGGCCCTCAGGGCCGCAGCTCTGTGAGAATAAAAGGTAGTAAGTAGAACACTTCTGGCTCCTGTTGTTGGGATCTGGCTCGTGGACCCCAAGGAGGTACCCGAGACCTTGAATCCAGTGGCGTGGGTGGGAGGACACAGCCCAGCAAAGCCCAACCCCAGATGCCTGTGGGGCCCGGCCGGGCTGTGGGGAGTGCACTCTTTGGACGCAGGCATACTCTACTTCCAAAAAGAAACACGCTCTTGCCCAGAATCGTTTAAGTACCAGTTCCTCCCGTTCTCATTCCTCTACTAAGAACAGCGTGAGTGTGAGGACGGACGGCAGTGGCGCAGGCCCCGGTGTCGGGACTGCCAGGAAGCAGGGAGCTGTGGGGGCCCAGGGGCTCACGCCCTACGTAGACCCGTTCTAGACCACCACACTAAGCAGGAGAGAGAAGCTAATACGGGGCAGGGCCCCGAGGGAAGGGTGCAGCGGATGCCAACCCGGGTCTCCAAGACCTCCAGCCCAGCGCTCTCCTTTTCCACATGGCCTCTTACCCTCACTGGCAGGAGGCTCAGCGCGCTGGAGAGAAAGCTCCATGTCATCTGGGGCTCCACGCAGCTCTGGGCAATGGCACTGCTACCCTCACCGCATTCTGGAGATACGGCACCCAGACAGGTCTTTGGAGTTCATACATTTCTTGCCTGCACCACCCTAGAACCTTCGTTATCTGGACACGAGGGCGACTCAATCCTAACTGCTTTTCCTGCTCCTACTCTGCCCGCGGTACCTATTCTCTACCACGCACGTCAAGAGGGCCTGCTTCCAGCTCACACCCCAACTTCAAAAGGTGGCTCGTAAAGTCATTCCCCACCAGCCCTCTTCCATTTCCTGCCTCTGGATGTTTGCCTGGCCCTAACCAACCAGCCGTGACGATGCACGAGGTCCCCCTTAGCGGAGATGCCACTTCCTCCGGGAAGCCTTCCCCATGCTGACTCAGCAGCTGGGGCACTTCGCAGGGTCTTGTTCTCTGGCGACCTGTCCGTTCCACTCATCACAGCGTCCCAGAGCTTGATGTGTAGCCAAGAACAAATCCTAAGCGGGATTTGGTCACCTCCAAGCGTTAGCCAGGCTGTCCCTTCCAAGAATAAGTCAAATGCAAAACATTTGTCCCGGATGCGCTGGGAACTCGCACCTTTCCTTCAAGCCTTTTATTTTGAGTTGATACAAAAAACCACAAACAAAACAGGGAAAAACTGACAGAGGACAAAGCCTCAGCATCAGCCAGAGACCAGAGACGTGGAAGGAGCTGCAGGCTGGGCCTTGCTAGGTCTGCAGGAACAAGAGATGGAAGGTCCCGAGGCCTCTGGGCCTGTTGGGTTTGAAGGGGGAGGGGCAGGTCACTTAAAAAAATATATATATACTGTACACAACTATCTGAAGCATTCTGTGTCAGGACAGAAGTCAGACGCGGAGCTGGTGAGCGCAAGTCACTTCTCCTCCTCCTCGGACCAGCCTCTCGGCAGGGCTCACTAGCTCGGCCAGCACGGGCTCTGCGGCTGGCTGGCTTCTTCTGGGGAGGGAGGGAAGTTAAAGATTCAATTCCAACCCATGGTGGCCAGAGGGCAGAGGCATGGGGCTGGTCACCACTTGGCTAGGAAATCCCTGGGGGAAGGAAACATATCCAGATTTAAGATTTCCCGACCTTTTTCTCCAAAGAGAAGAAAATAAAATCAAAACCTGGTGTGTCTGATGCAGGGGAGGAGCTTTAACCACAGCGGGCACTTTAGTGCGGACCGTGTCCCAGGAACAGGGCTGAGCACTTTAGTGCTCCATGCTTAATCCTCAACGCCAGGCAGGCAGGCTCTGTGTTCCCCCCTCATTTCCAGCGGGGCTGGTGGCTGCTGGGGTCCCATCAGCCCCTTCACCACCACCCGGAAAGCACAGCTCCATCGGGGTGACTTATTCTGAGGAAACCATCTTCTTCCCCATGAGGAATGCCCTCAAATGACAAGATCACAAGGAAGAGGAAGTGGACAGTGGTGGGAAGAGACCGAGCTGTACTTGACCTCGAGCCTCATCCTCCTCTACAAAGAGGCACTATCCCGGGGCCCGCACCCAGGGAGTGCTGTGTTGGTCACGGCCATCATTATTCTGGATCCTTCTGATTCTGCAGCTGATTTCTGGCATCGCCTCACTGGCCCCACTGACCTTGAGGGACAGAACCACTTTCTCCAGCCCCTGCTCCTTCCCCCTGCTTGGCCCCTGCGACCAGGCCAGATGCTGGAGTTACCCTCCCACCCTCACCAGGGATCCCCCGGCCAGGAAGCATACCTGTCGCCGTGTGCCCCTCAGACAGTCTGCTCTGCTGTCTTCTTCTGTGAGGAGAGAAGGACGAGAGGCTCCTGTACCTGAAGCAGCTCCGCCCCCCCCCATGCCGCCCCCCACCCCCCGGAGCGGATGTGATGGTTCTCTCCTGAGGACTTGTAGCTCCCCCATCCCGGAACAGATATTGGGTACACAGGGATCCCCAAGGGCAGGGCTGGGGCCCCATCTGCCCAGGAAGGAGCCCGGGACACTGAAGCCAACAGATGCTCAGCTTTTCTGAACACAGCTGGGGCCCCGCCGGCCATGGTGAGAACTGCCCCCTACTCCGGTGATCAGCCTCTGGAACCCACAAAGCAAAGGGGACACCCTGCCAGCTGGGGTACACACATCCCAGGGAATGTCTCCTCTCACCTCAGCCTGCCTGGCTAGCCTCCCTGCCCCCCACCTCAGGGCTCTCCTTCACCCATCCCGAGAACATCCTTCTACCTCACAGACAAAGACGGGGCCACTGCCATGGCTGCACACACACAGGCCGTGTCCCTCCCTCAGGGTGGCCCCTGCCTTCCACCCATCTGCGCCAGCTTGTCACAATTCACGAGGCCCCAACCTCTGGACCCTGAGAATGGCTCGGGGGCAGGGAGCAGGTGTGGCCTGCCCCACGCGCACTCTGACACACACAGGATGGGGCTGATCACATTCACCCTGCGGACTGGGTTTGCGTCCTTCTTCTGGCTGGAGACCCCTCAGGAACTCACGCTACCTTTTTCTTCTTTTTCTTCTGGAATGGTGAGTCAGGGTCTTTGGTTGAGGCCTTTTTTACTTTCTTCTTCTTTTCCTTCTTCTCCTTGTCTTTTTTTTCTAAGGAAAGAAAGTAAACCCCCTAAGTAACAGAAGCATGGCGGTGGGGGGGGGGGCGTCAATGTCAAGAGACAGGGCTGGTCTCAAGGGATCCTAGAACCACTCCTCCAATGCCAGGTCCCCAGTTCTCCCCACACTCCGGGGACCCATCGAAACACAGGCCCCAGGCCTCTGTGACCACCTGCCCTGGCCCAAGAGCCCATCCACGGACCATCTGGACTACTATTTCTAACTCACTTTTTAAGACTTCCACACATTTTAAAAAGTGACATTCTACCTGTAAACGGAAATATCACCTAAGGGACAGACAGGGCTGGATGAAAGGAGGTTCTGCGGCACGCAGTCTAGCACAGAGCTTGGGAAGGGCGAGCTGCCGTGAGCTCTGAGGGGAACCTTCTATCTAGGTGCCTGGGCTGCAGAAGCAGGACGCTGAAGTGCGCCTGACAACTGGCCACCCGCTGTGAGCGAGCACCGAGCACCGGTGGCCTGTGAGTAGGCCGCACCGTGCAGCTGCATCTCCCCGGATCCCCGGCAGGTCAGCCCAGGAGCTCCGGGACCCAGCTCCGGCTCTGCCACTACCACCCCACCCCACCCCCCACCCCCGGCCCCAGACAAACCGGTTTGCAGCCTTGCCCTTCTGTGCCCGCTGGGCGCCCACCCCCACGGCATACTGACCGCAGGCTCTCAGCACGGGCCCTGAAGCCTGCTCCAGGCTGCAGCGGCCAGGCACTTACTCTTGTCGGATTTCTTCTTCTCCTTCTTGCTCTTTGGGTTGCCTTGGTCTCCACCCTCAACCTTCAGTGTCCCTGGCTCCCCTTCCGGCTTTTCCTTGGCCCCCTGGGAGCCAGGAGACCCCTTCTCCTTCTTCTCCTTGATGTCACCACTCGCTCCGTCTCTCTTGGCTTTCCCCTTGGGAGTCCTGAGGGCCTTATCTGGCGAGCCAGCACCCTCCCCACCTCCCCCGGCCACCAGCTGCTTCTTCTTCTTGCTCTTGGGGGCTCTGGCGGCCGTCTGGTCCCCCGACAGCTTCCGCTTGCGGCCCACCCGGCCCTTCCTGCTGCTCTCCTTGGCGGCATCCGCGGCCTTCTTCCTCTCCTGCTCCAGCAGCTCCGTCAGGACCTTCACCACCGAGGCCTGGACCCGGGCCTCGTTCAGGGGCCAGGGCTCACTCAGGAGGCGCCGGCTGATGTCGCTCTGCAGTGCCAGCATGGAGGCCTGGGGACTTTCGGCCTCCTTCTTGGGCTTCCGGGGCTTCTGAGGCATGGGATTAGCCTCTCTTCTGCCTGTGGACAGAGAACATGGGGTCACGGATCGGGAGAGTCAGCAAACAGGCTCACCCTGAAGCTGCAGGGCGCGGCCTACTCACGTATAAGCCAAGGGGGGGGGGTGGTCTAGGGACACAGCTGACCTCCTCGGACAAGGTACAGACAGGGAAAGGGGGCCCAGAAGTCACTCTGCCCCATTGCCTGGCTCACACCTTTCCAGCCGTTTCTAACTTAGCTCTTTTGTCTCCTTGCACTCGAGTCAGGTTGGAGATGGAAAAAGACTCCAGAATCTTAAGGATGGGGAGTGAACTCTACCAACAAAATGAGAGATCAAACAGGAGGGGGACGGTATTGTCCAGTCAGAGGTCCAGAGCTGGGAGGCAAGGGACTTGGATTCCAGGTTTGCCCACCACCAGCATGCTGTGGGACCGTGCTCCTCCCCTGGCCTCAGTCTCCCCATTTGTAAAATAAGGGCTCAGATAAATGGTGAGGCCTCTATTCTAAGTCAGACTCATGATAAAAGCTGGTCAGGGAACAAGGCAGCCTAGAGGGTGACGGGCATGGTGTATATGCACGTGGTGGCTGACGAGGCAGGTTTGCTGCCTGCCAGAGTGACTTCTGGTGCAGCCTTTGTTTTAGAATTTTCCACGCCTCTGCTCTCCTTTGATAATTGTGTGCCGACTACACGTGTGAAAAAACCCGTCCACAGTCCCCTCTAAAATGTCTCCCTGTCGCACCCACCTCTCACAAAGAACAGTGGGGCAGACAGTGAGCATTGGCTCTTCTGCTGACCCAGCAGCGGTGAGCTGCAGCTAAGGCCAAGGCTGGGGTATTGGGGGGAGGGGGGGGCGGCATTAGCGGTGTCCCACTGCTGCCCCTGACTTCCCAGCTGACTCGGCAGGTTTGCACTCATTCTGGGCCTCACAGACACAACCGTGCCTACATGCTGGCTCTGAGAGGCGCCCCGTGGCTCGGCCCGGCTCCCCATCACGGGGCTGGGGCCTGTTGCCTGCAGCATGCAGTGGGCCCAGGACAGGAGCTCAGGGGAGGCGCAGACGGCAGGCTGAGCAGGGGTCGGTGCCAGGGGCGGGGTGGTCCCAGGACAGACGGAGGCCCAATTCAGTTGTTTGGTGCTTCCTGGCAAGGGCAGGGGTTGGCTGGAGAGGGAAGCTGAGGAGGTTTGCGCTGGCAACCTCCCTCCCCACAGCCCACGTCTCTGCTTCCTGTCTACAAACACCCTAGAACACCACAGCTGGGGAATGCCTAGAGCTGTCCCAGGCGTGCCCATCAAAGCTACCTGTCCCTCAGCACTGGCAATGCCCCAGGCTGGGTGACCTCAGCAACTCCGGTCTGCCCTCCAAACACCTTGTGACAATTGTCTGTGTGCGCCACGCCCTAACACTCACTGGATGGATCTACTCTGCCCTGTGTGGTTAAGACACAGAGGCCCAGGGTGGCTAGGGTCCTGTCTGAGGCTTTACAAGTCAGACCATCACCTGGGGTCTCTGCCATGTGCTAGAGGCTTCTCCAGAAATGGCTCCTGCCTTCTGTCTGAACTGCCCTCAGTTCCCACACCCCACACCATGAGTCCATTTGTTAGGAAGCAAAGGCAATGGGGACAGTTAGAGAAAGCCAAGGCCGCTCTAAGGCAGGGATCACCCGACCAGATGCACCAGCATCCCACAGAGCTGGAAAACCCAACTTCCAGGCCGTCCCAGGTCCTAAGAGCCAGACACCCGGATGTGGGGCACCGGGCCTTGCTTGGAGAGGCCCTTGTGACAGACAGGACCATACTGGTAGGGCTGTTCCTGAGGCCCACTGCCTTGTCCCTCCGTGTCCCACTGTGTGTCTCCTGTGGCCCTTGACTCACTTGTTTTAGGGGATACGGTGCCTGCTACATGTTGGCGCTCCACTTCCTGCTTGCCGTCTGGGGCATCTTTGGTGGCGGAAGTAGAGGCAGCCGAGGGGTTGAGGTCTGGCCTAGCAGTGGCCTTTGAAGCCTGGGAATTGGCCAGAGTCGGCTCAGGGGTCACATAACCTGAGAGGAGAGACTGAAGAAACCCAGTGTGAACGAGACTGGAACCCTGCTCCACCCTTGAGTGCAGGGCCTACTGTGAGGAAGCCGTCCCAGGAGCCCCTGAGATCGGGCCAGCCCTGTCGGGCCTGGCGTGGGGCACACTAGCCCTTTGTATGAACCTCCTACACTATTTTAATTAATACAGATTTTCCTCAGCCACATTTAAAAAGACAATCTCTCACTACTAACGCAAATGGAAAATCACTAGCACTTGCCGTGTACAGAAGATAACCTTAGAGAAATCCCATCTGTTCCAAAGTGTCTTTTTTTCCTGGGACTCATCTAAAATCCAGGCAAGCCTTTCCTACAGGCTCTAGGAGTCCATACTCATGGCTCTATGCTGAAACAGAGCCCCGCGGGGAGAGACGGGCCCCCGCTGTGGCGGACGGCCTCGGCCAAACGCGGCAGCAGGCCTCCGGCACCCGCCCGAAAGCCCCCGAGGGGCCAGTCCCCACCCTCATGTTACCTGAGAGGGCGCCACCACCTCGTCCTCACTGGACTCCGCTGTGGTCTCCTCCACCAAGGTCTCCGTCGTGGAGGGGGCTGGACCTATGGGGGGGCGGGGGGGGGCAGAGGCCAGCTGTCGGGAGGCCCCCGGATGGCCTGAGCCTTCCGCTGGCCCCTCCCGCCCAAGGCTTTGCCTGCTCCTGCGGCTCCCTCCCAGCTCAGTGGCTATCCGCCGCCTTCTAAGCAAAACGTCTCAATGCCAAAGGCTTCCATTCTAATTTCTGAGGCCCGGCTTCTGCTTCCCCGCTTTTCTTCTTTTTTAAAGGTTTTACTTATTTGTCAGAGCGCGCGCACTTGCACAAGCAGAGGGAGCGGCAGGAAGAGGGAGAAGCACTCTCCCCGCCGAGCAGGGAGCCCGATGAGGTCCTGGGATCACAACCTGAGCCGAAGGCAGATGCTTAACCGCCTGAGCCACCCCGGCGCCCCGTTCTGCGTGGGAAGCATGACGCCGGGACTTTGGGGGGTCAGTTATGGAAGCCTGAGCGTAAAAAGCTGGCAGTCAAACAGCAGAGCTGGAAGGTCTTTGGTATCATTTGGCCCAACCTCCTCGTGGGGTTGTACAGGTGGGAAACTGAGGCCCAGCATGGGGTGACTGGGCCCAGGCTGCAGAGCAGGTGGAGATACAGCGCCGAGGCCTGAGACTCGTGCTGCACCAGGCTGCCCCTCCCCTGCTCTGGGCCCACCTAGCCTTCTCCTGGGACCCCCACCTAGCCTGGGGGCCGAGGGAGCCATCTGGGGCCCGGCAGCATCTTCCTCGCTCCCTGAAGAGCTGCCACTGCTGTCATCACTGTCATTGGAGGTGTCAGAGGCCTTGGCTTTGGCGCGTCCGGCAGGAGTGGCTGTGGCCCGCTGGACCACAGGAACCTCAGGCTTTCTGAGCTTGTTGGTCCCCTTGGCCTGCACAGGGAGTGTTCCCAGAGCACCGTCAACCTAATTTGGTAAAAAAAGAAAAAAAAAAAAAAAAAAAAAAATGAGAGAGAACAGGAAAAAAAAAAATAAAGGGAAATAAACATGGTTCTTACAGAACACCCCAGTTACCTCAGGGCTAGGCGTCTGTTAGCTGCTCTGCACCCAGGCCTCACTCAGCCCTCCCACAAACGCTGAGCTGGGCAGCAGAGGTTGGGGCGGGGGGTGGTGTGGGTTAGAGATGTGTGCATGCTACAGTCACAGGGTGGGTAAATGCTGGCGCTGGGACTTGGGCCCCTCCCTGGGCCCTCCCTTCTATGGTCTGTCATCTTTGCTCACTGTCCCCTCCAGGGTGGGGCCTAGCCCCCCCCACCACAACCACCAGGCTCCCCGGCTCACCCCACTGGAAGACGGGGTCCCAGCAGCAGGAGGCTGGGCCTCACTGGCTTTCTGGGCAAGGACCTTCAGGGCAGCCTGGGTCAGAGGGAGGCGAGCAGGGCTCCACTTTGTCACCTGTGGACAGCCACAGGCAGCCCTGAGACTCGCAGGTCCTCGGGATGCCATCTGTGCCAGGCCCTGGTCAGATCCTGGCTGGGGTCGGAGGGGACCTGTATCTGCACAAGGAGCCATGGGGCTGGAGAAGGGGACTGAGGGATAGTCAAGGGGGTAATGCCACCGTCGGGCCAGAAAACAGGGCCAGGCTTCAGGTTATCAGCTGATCATACTGTTCTCAGTGGATCCAAAGACAGCTTTTAGCCCAGGGGAGGGAAGCAGCTCGGGTCCCACCTGAGGCCCCCCGACTCAATCTGAGCTTGCACTTGGGAAAAGTCTCTAGCCTGGTGGCTGTGACAACCTCCTCAAAGGTGTCCCTGGTGCCACTCCTGCTTCCCACATCCACCCCTAGTCAGGGAGACAGAACTGGAAAAGAGCTGGGCTGGGCAGGTACCGCCCCCCACCCCCCCAGTCTCTGCTGCTGGGCGGCCCTCACCACAGCCTGTTCGGCCTGGCTCCTCTCGCCTTATTGCTTCCCCCAGCTCTCCCGCCCAAGTGCTTCCCCAGAGGGTCCCAGCCTGGGTTCCTTCCCCTGGCTGGAGTACTCTCTGGCTCGCCGTGGCGTGGCTGCTTCTCTAGCCTTGGTATCGCCTCCCTGGGGAGGCTGCTCTTTCCTGCCCATCCTTCCTAAAGCAGCTCACCTCATTATTCTCTCGTTTAGACTCAGTTTCTTTCAAAGTACCCACCAATTGGTGAGTACTTTACTTTTTGGCTTCCTTGTTTCATGGCCCATGAGACCCTCCCGGCTGTCTGCCTGGTGCGGACAGATGCTCAGCACCATCTGCTGGCCGAATGGAGGCGGGCTGCCGGGTGCAGTGACCACAGCACAGCTACCCAGCACCCATGCTCCCAGGAAGCTTCTCTTGGGCTGTAGCTCATGATGAGCCCCTCTGGGCTAGGGGTGCCCAGCTCCCTCTTGCCCTCTTAGAAGAGAGGGGTGGGGTGCAATGGCATGGGAAAACTAGCCCACATGGCCCAGGAGCAGGGTGAGGAGTGAGGAGACCTGGGTTCTGGCCCTGCCTAATCCTGGACAGGCCTCAACGGTCTTGAGGGACAGTGCTCAGCTCTGTCGTTCGCACAATGAGCCGCTAACTCCACCCTGCTCAGGCTGTAGATTTAGGCAAAGACCCAACAGAAATGCACTGAAAATGGTGAAGCCAGGAAGTCACCATTATCCACACTAAGACAGGCAAGGTTTGTTCACAGCATTTCCAAACGGGGAGGGAAAAAGCAAACAAACCAAAAGCGCAACCACGTTCGAACAGCTGCCGAGGGGCGTGCGGAGCCACAGCGTGGCTCTGCCCGGGGGCCACACTCCCAGACTACTCTTCCTTACAGCTCAGAGGCATCTGGGAGCCTGGTCGGGGCTGCAGCCAAGCCAGGGAAGGTGCGCGGCTGCGAGGGGGCGGCTCCTTGGGGGTGGGGGGTGTGTGGAGGAGAGCGACAGCAGCCCCACCCAGCAGCATGTGTGAGGGTGGGGAGGGCGGGGGGGTCCCCTCGCCCCTGCCGTCCCACACGGCCCTCCCTTGCCTGCCATACCTGAGCACCGGGCGCCTCCTGTTTCTTGCCTTCTGACACCCGACCGGACGCCTCCCTGCTGCCGGCTCCAACAGTGCTGGCTCTGGCAGTTGGCCTTGGGTGGGCCGTGAGCACAGCTGCTTTGGTTCTACTGGCTGAAATGGAGCGGGATGGGGTGCAAGTCAGGGCACACGTGGAGCAATCCCCAATTATCAGCCCTTCCTGGGGATGTGGCCCAGTGCTCACGGCATTTGCAGCAGAAGCCTGTTTAATGTCCTCCCTGAGGGCGCCTGGGTGGCTCAGTCGTTGAGCGTCTGCCTTCGCTCAGGTCATGATCCCAGGGTCCTGGGATGGAGTCCTGCATTGTGCTCCCTGCTTGGTGGGGAGTCTGCTTCTCCCTCTGTCCCCGAATCCCTGGCTCATGCTCTCTCTTCTCACAAAAATAAATAAAATTAAAAAACCAAACGCCATCCCTGAGCCTTGCAGGCAGGAGCCGTCACTAGCTCTGTGTCACGAGCTCAGGGGAACCACAGAACTGCTGTGACCCCAGGCTTTCTCCCCGGCCCCTCCCCACACTTCAGTCCTCGATGCTGCCGCCCCTCAGCTGGCCAGGCCACTACTTTGAGCAATGGTGGGGAGCACGGCTACCAAATGGGACTCTGTGCATTTAGAAGATTTTTTTTTTTTTTTTTAAGATTTTATTTATTTACTTGCCAGAACAGAGAGGGAGAGAGAGAGCACAAGTAGGGGAGTGGCCGGCAGGCAGAGGGAGAAGCAGACTCCCTGCTGAGCAAGGAGCCCAATGTGGGGCCCGATCCCAGGATCCCGGGATCATGACGTGAGCCGAAGGCAGATGCTTTAATCGAATGAGCCACCCAGGGGTCCCTAGAAGAGTCTTCATAAGAATATCATGGTCATTTGCAAAGGCTCAGTTCTGTGTGCTCACTGTAGCACTGCTCGTGATAACCCCAAAGCCCCCACACAAAGCCGGTCGCTTCCTCCGGCATGGCACTGCCCACATAAACTATGCTAAGCCCACCCAAAGGACAGCTCTGTGGCCAGCAGGACTCACACGGTAAATACGTAATGTCACAGTCCGTCAGGTAAAAATCAGAGCACGCGTGCACGGCATGACTCACTAAACACACGCACAGCTGAGGTTTCTGCAGTTTCGGTAAAGTTAACAGTTCTAAAACGCCAGTAATTATTCCAGACAGCGGATTATGGTGACAGTTTTTTCTCCTGCGCTATTCTGTATTTAATGAGCCCACCAAAACCAGGTCTTATTATTATGCTCACAGAGTGTCACAACAACATTAGCTATTTTCCTGATGGCAACGGGAGTACCAGAGATTCTCAGAAGTCAAAAGAAACCCCAGATAGGGTCCTGTCTCCCACTGACAGATGGAACCCTTGCCTACGATGTCTGTACATGCTACCAGGACCGCGAGGCTCACTACCACCTCAACGCCCTCTCCCCGTTCAGGCAGTCAGTTGCTACAAAGCTCTCCCTCAGATTACATAGGAACCTGCTGTCTGCAGCTTCCAGCCACTGGCATGGGTACCACCCCTTGGAGCTGGCACAGAGAAGTCCCGGCAAATACGGTCTCCGGAGATGGAGACCAGAGCTAGCTCCTTGTCAGGACAAACCAATGTCAGGGGCAGAGACATGGCTCCAAGCCCCTCTGGGCCAACAACTGTGTGCTGTGGGACTCAGCCGGCAGCCTCTCCCCTTGGGCCGCAGGGAGCTGTGTGTGTGCTGTGCGCGCGTGCGTGCCCGGTGGCCTCTGCCAGGCCAGCTTGGCGGTGGCGGCACGGGAGTCAGCCCTGCGTAGCGGGCCTGTGCTCACCAGGAGTGGAGCACTGCGTGGCGGGGATCACATCCTCATCCTCACTCTCGGAGGAGGAGCTCCTGGCTGTGCTCGCCGAGGCCCGGGCCTTCTTCGGGCTGTTTGCCGCCGGGGCTTGTGTGGTGGTAGCAGCCGGGCCAGCTGGACTACGATTAGGGTCGACAAAAATCAGAGGGGGTTTAATCACCTTGAAAAACAAAAACAAAACATACCCCCCCAGTGATTAAAGGTTTGGCCAGGCAAAGGGGATGCTGGGTGGGGGTCCAGAGCGCTCAGGGCAGCCGGGCAGGCAGAGGCCATTCCGGCCACCCACAGCACTCTCTGCGCGCGCACCCCCCCCGCCGCCCATGCACCTGCTAAGACCCACACAGCACCTAACAGCCCCCAGGAGCCCCTGAGGTCAGCGGTACTGGCTCCACTGTACAGCTGGGAAAACACGAAGTCCAGAGAGGGGAGAAGAGTTGCCCAAGGCTGCACAGCTTACTGACTGTAGAGCTGGGGCCAGAAGAGCCAATTCAGGCTTCTTTCCTCTGGCTGACTTCAGGGCCAGACAGACGCTGGCCAAGCCGGGTGCTCCAAGCAGCATGCCCCTCAGCTGCCCGGCTGTCACCCACAATCTTCCTGGGGAGCTGTGCATAACCAAGTTGCCCCCACCCCAGACACGCTGGTGCAGCCTCCTGAGCTGTGGCCCAGGGCGCAACGACCTGACTCCACGCTGACCCCATGTCTTCAGCAAACAAACCGCACAGGGGAAAAGCCAAGATGAAGACTTAAGGGACCCAATGCAGTGTGTGGCCCTGGGTGAATTATCCGAACACACCCGATGTAGACTATCGTTCATGAGACAATCTGGGAAGTGGGGATGCCGAGCGCGCAGGCCAATTTCTCAGGAGTGATACTGTATGGTGGCCGTCCTCTCATCAAAGAAAGGAACCCAGGGGTGCTGGGGAAGGAGTGGAGGGTTTTCATGAAGCAAGCCTGGTCACGAGTGCAGACCCACTGAGGCTGGTGAAGGCATGTGGGGGTTCTGCACGCTGTTCTATCTTTGGGCAGGCTGTACAGCTTCCAGTGAGGCAGTAAAAGAGAGAGAAAGTGGCCGCTCCCTGGGATCCTGCGGACCAGGCCAGGGTCACAGCTCTGGTGGACATGTCCACCGTACACAAGGGCACCCTCACACACATGGAGCCTGCACCTTCCATCCCCAGAGGTCAGACTCGGTCTAAGTTCCACGCCCTCTCTTGCCCGGAGGGGAAACACAGGACAGCAGGAGGAAGCTGTCCGAGGCCAAGGTCTGGGACCCTGTCTCGCCCATCACCCCACCCCGCCCACCTCCAGGGCCCAGGGGGGCCCAGGGCAGCCCAGCGGGTGGTGGGAGAGGCATCCTGAAAAGTCAAGCAGAGAGGTGCCTGCCCGAGGGTGGGAGTTCTGCTGGGCTGGGGCCCTTCCCACCCTTGCCAAACAGCCTCCCCCGCGGCTGCTCTGATCTGCCACTTCCAGAGCCTGCCTTCCCACATGATGAAAGAGAGAAGGATGGGAAGTGGGAGAAGGCTTACAGTTGAGGGGGGGGGAATCTATATATATGTGAGAAGACAGAAGAACAGATTGTCGGGGACGAAGAGAGGCACCGAACCCACCGAGGCAAACAATAGCGTCTGGGATGTTAAAAGCAGCTCAGCAGCAAAAGCTTCCTCCTCCCTGTTCCACCTGCCCACACGGCCTCGGCACCAGGGGCGGTGCAGGGGGCCTGGCACTCGAGGGCAGGGACACGAGGGGCCCGGGGCTGAGCCCTGGACACGACAACAGTGCAGCAGCGGCATTGGATCGTTCAAAAGGTGGGCCGTCCGACCCAGGGATATGGGGAAACCCGCCTCTGACCCCACTTCTGCCAGACCTCACCATGTGGTGAGGCCCCTGAGCTTCGAGGGCCTGTTTCCCACCTGTTGAAAAGGCTATTAGTAATCCCAGCCTGGGCTCGCTCACCAGAGGGGCTCTGATACGCTCTGAAAACCGCAAAGCACGGCACACAGAGGTGACAAAGCTTCACGGGAAGCTGACGCAGCCTGGACACTCGGCTGGGCCTCCCTGTCGGCGCCAGGCCGCGAGGGCCCAGAGGGAATGTGGGGATGCCCTTCCTGCTGCAGAACCAAACCTGGGGGCCCGCTGTCACAGCTGGGCTCACCAACTCTGCCCTCGTTCCAGTCTGGGGCCAAGTGGGGGTGGGGGGCTGACCAGCCCAGGCTGTTAACTCTGGGGTAAGGGACAGAGCTGAGAAGGCACCCAAGAGCCCCTCGCAGGACTGCCTGGGGCCTAGTTAACAGGTCCCAGGCCAGCCCCACCCAAAAGGGCTGGGAAATCCCCCTCCAGGCTGGGCCTGCAGCCTCGTGGGTCACCAGCCCCCAAGGAATGTCACCCCACGGGTTGAGAAGGCAAGTGGCTTCACCCAGGGTGACCAGCAAACTGTGCCAGAGCTGGACTGGAAGTCTGCTCTCCAGGGACCAGACAGGAGCTCCTTCCAGGACCAAACATGCTAGGGCTCCGACTTAACACCCTAATTTAGCTCCTTACGGGTCTTCTTCTCTGACTGTACCTGAAACATTGAGGGCAGGGCTTAGGTTTTTTTTAATACGGCACTGACCCCAGCACAGACCCTGGCCTGGGATTAATAATGCCAGCAACAGGGCAGAGCCACAGACCACCCTCCCTGAAGTCGATCTCAGAGAAAGAGGCTGGGGTCCATCCTTGTAGGTGGGGAGACTGAGGCACAGCGAGGGAGCCTGGGAATGGAGCCACGATTGCCCCTACCCCCCAGCCTGAGGCTGTGCCCACCACTCTGGCATTGATCCCTTTTCTCCACTGATAGGCTAATAATAAAAACAGAGTGAAACTTGTCAGTAGAGAAGTACTTGACAAATGCATAATAGTAATAATAATCATAATTAGTGAGCTAGGGATGAAGGAGCTCAAAATCCCCCAGCAGGGAGGAGAGGCTGCAGCTTCTTCAGGCTGCACCGCTCCTAGGGAAATGCACAAAATGCCAACTTTCTTCCTGCTTCTTTTTTAATAGGGACTCCAGAATCTTCAGGACTAACGTACCAATTAAATGGTTCAACTTCAGCATGATGTTCATTTTAATTGTGTTAGTCCGCCCCCACAACGCAGGGCGAGGCGGCCCCCTCCCTCCCAGCTGTCCCGATCCTGCTCAGACAAGGAGACGGCCTCCTAAGGGCGTCTGGACCGCCAGAGGGCAAGGCCCGGGCCACCCTCCACTTTCCCTGGAGAGAGGACAGCACAGTGCCAGCCCGTGGGCACCGTATGCACAGCCTGGGTTCAAACGCCAGGTCTGTCCCCTTGTTCCTGGCCGTGGGACGCCGGGGCAAGTCACTCAACTTCTCTGAGCCTCACTTGTTCCTCCTTCAAATGGGAATAAAAGAAGGACCTACCCTCAGAGGGCTGTTGTGGGGACTGAGCAGGATAACGAATACGGGGTTTGTGACATGGAAAGTGACCGATAACGTTAGGTGTAGCTGTTCATCAGGACTTTTGTCACCTGCGCTATGGAGCAGAGAATGGCAGCGAGCGCCCCACCCCATCACCGAGGGTGGCACGCAGCCACCAGCCACTGACCTCACTGGTGGACCGATCAGCACGCGGTAGGTATATGGGGGAGGTGGTTAAGCAGAAGGTCTGGTAATTATAGGACTCCAGGGACCTTGAGAGGACCTGGCAGAGGCGTCCAGGCACCTGGGGCTACAGGACAAAGGGCACTGCTACCTGCTGGAAAGGCTGGGGCTCACACAGAGGCCTGGACTCAGCAAGCTGGGGAAATAAGGTGGGCCTGGTCCCAACCTTAGGGGGAGTCTGGGGAGGCCACGGGTGCAGCAGAGCACGTGAACGCGTGCCATGGGCGCCGGGGTGAGGTCCCGGACATGCCCGCTGGATTCCGACAAGCCCCGCGGGGAAGGCTCCCGGTCCCAAACAGCAAGTGGGGATGTACTGGGAGCCAGGGGACCAGCATCCAGCCCTGCCTTGTCTTCTCATGGGTCATGAGAATTTGGGGAATGGACTTCAACTCACTGGGCTTTGATTCCTGATGCATCAAATGGGCCACAGCATGTGCCCTCCCGCAGGAACAGGCACTCCCATCAGGCAGTACGTTGTGCAGGGATGCGGGAGGGAGGACCACTACCCTGCCTGCTTCCAGGACAGATATCTGGGCCTCAGGGTGGTCACGGAACTGGCAGCTGGGAGAGCCAGTACTGACCCTCCACCATTTGGCTGTGAAGCCTGGATGCTCAGTGATGCCCCACTGCCTACCTCCCGCGGTTACCGTGAAGATGAACAGCTCAACCAGGAGACCGTGCAGTGCTGTTTAAATGGCAAAGGTCTGCCCTCGCAACCCTCAGGGGCCTGCTGCCCTGAGTCTGCAGTGTCCCAAAGAGAAGGAAAGGCCTACCTGGCTGGCCGGCAGCTCCTCGTCGCTGCTCTCTGAGGAGCCCTCTGTGTTCTTCTCTGGGGGTGCTGGGGCCAGGGGCTTGCTTCTGGCAGCTTTGGAGTTACCCTCCTTCTGAGGGGACAAGCACATGGGTAGGGGACAGGGGGTGTTAGCTGAAGGGGAACACGACGGAGGGACCGGGGCAGGGAAACCACGGCCAGTGAGCAAGCATGCTCTCGTATGCTGGCTGTCCACGGGAGGCAGCACGGCCCCTTACTACATGCACGGGAAGACAGCTGCTGGCTCGGCATGCCCCCGGCCACTGGAAACACAGCCTTCCCCTCTGCTAATGCTCCCTCCAGAGCCGACTCTGAACTTGAAAGGGAAGTAGGAGTCAGACCGCACTAAAACCTGAGAGCTGGAGTGCTGGTGGCCAGGCGTCCAAAACAGAGGAGACAGGCAGCCTGGGACAAAGTTGCAGGGGTGAGCCAGTGGTAGTGGTCCCAGCGCACTCACATCTGGCTGCAACAGCCTCAGGTAATAGCAGGAGCCAGCCAGAAGTGTCCCAAGGCTGCTGCCCCCTCCTGCCAGACCAGGCATAAATGAGGGGGGCTGGCTGGGCATAAGCTGCAGTCGGGGGGCCAGAGGAGGAGAGCACGGAGTAGCAGGCACTGGTGGTGACCAGCTCAGGGGAGCCCAGGGCAGGGGCAGAGGCCCCCCTTCACTACTCAGTCTGGCCAAGCAAAGTGGCAGAGCCGCCTACGCTGCCCAAGTCCACTTTCTCAAGAGCAGCTAGGAGATCCTGATTTGTGTCATTTCCTACACCACAACAGCTGTGCCCCCGACTCTGCTCTGCTAGCCCCCGCCAACCCCACTCACCAGGCTCTGGGGACGGTGGCCCCCTCTCCCAGCCAATCACAGAACCACAGGCCCCTTATCAGTGAGCGGCCTTTTTTTTGGCAGGGGAAGCACATGCCTAAGATCTAGACAAGGAGGGGAGGGGAAGCGAGGTCTGCTGGGGGACTTCCTAGCTCTCTGGGAGACGCTGCAGCCCTGCCATGACAGTGAGCAGAAGATGGAAGAAATCTGGGTCACCCATGACGCCAAGCTGAAGGAACCACCTTTAGAGCAGCTTTACCCCAAAGCTTTGTGTGGCATGATGGAACCAATCTCTTTTAAGCTCTTGGAATTAGGTTTTCTCCCGCAGATTAGGATGTCCTGATCCAAGAACCCACTTAAAACTTAAAAAACAAAAACAAACCAAAATACTGCTATGTCTAAACATGGCTGGGACTCTTGTGTCTTAGTCTGGCATTAGGCCCCCATACATGTGACTGGTGACAAGCAACTAGAAGTGACTATTGCCCTCAGGGTGGCTGGCCTTTGTGGAACCCACCTGAATTCACATTCCCTCCTCTTGGCAACGCCCCCGCCTCGGAGTGCCTAGCTTCGCTTGTCTGGCGAACCCCTGGTCTTCCTTTAAGCTCTGCTCAATCATCTCTTCTGGCCTCTAGAGACCTGTTCTCCCAGCTCCATCAGATAGGGCACTACCAGGATATTCTCCAATAATCCACCACTTCACCTTGCCCTACCTGACTACAGGCCCCATGAGATGAGAGTAGGGCCAACATCTTTCATTCCTTTATCTCTACCCGCGAGATGGAGCGCTTGTAGTTGGTCTGATGCACTGAAGGCAGAGGTCAGTGCTAGGAGCATTTAACAAACTTCTTGGTGCTTGTTTTACTCCTGAAGAAAACAGAAACCTAAGAGGGGATGGAGCTCGGCCTGGCACAGGGATTTCCAGCTTCCCTTAAGAAACAAACATGTGGCCACATAGAGGTACGCTTCCATGCGGTCATAATCAGCTGCTGGGGCTGACAGGGACCATCTTTCTAGTTGGGACCAAAACTCTCCAGTTTGGCCTAGCTGCTACCACCTTCCACTGCCTCTCCTGACACCAAGGCTCAATGGTGGCTACCAGGCCATCACACACGGGAGCCCTCTATGTCCTGGAGTCTGTCTCCCCGAACTTCTGCAGGACAAAGCCGCTCCTGCTGCTTTCTGCACACAGACAGAAGGGAAATCGTCCATGTAGAAGTCGGTTCCTCATTCACTCCCTCTCCCCACTCCCCAGGCTTCACCCAGCTGAGCTCTCCCTGGGGCCCCAGGCCCAGATGAGGAAGGGGACTTCCTCTAGCTCCCCAGCACCTCCTGATACCTGCATCACAGCCCAAGCCTCCTCAAGACTCCCCGTGACATCCTGAGATCCTTGGCCTCATTTACCTTGGCAGGAGTTGCTGGTCTAGCCTTCTGTGGGGCCGGTGTGTCCACTTGTGCTATGGAGGCCTCGGTAGAAACAGGAGTGCCCGGGACACCTTTCATCAGGGAGGCCTTGGTTGGGGGGAGCTTTACAGCAGGTTTCACCTAAAGAGACACGGAGGACAGCAGCTGGGGTAAGAGTCCAGGAGTCATGGCTTTCATCTGGTCTTCCTTCCTCACCTGGCCCTGAACCCAAGTCCTGCGCGAGGAGTGGGCGGCGGTGGCTCAGAGGCCTGGCGTTGTAGCGGCTTCCTCATTAGGCCTCACCTGGGCCGGCGCCTCCTCCTCGCTGGCCGACTCCTCCTCACTGCTGCTCTCTGAGTCCTCCTCTGGATTCCCAGCCCGGGTGGCTGTGGCTTCTGTCTTCTCGGGAGGGGCTGCTGCAGCCCCTTTCCTGGAGAACCCCTTGCCGGGGGCTGAGGCAGTTCTGACCTGGGGGGTCTTCCCTGAGGGCTTCGCGGGCAGTGAGAGAAACAGAATTAGGGGAGAGAGCCAAAGGGACCGCAAGAGCTGCTCTCCACTCTCCCCAGGGCCTCACCTGAGTGGGGGCCTCCCTGTCACTGTCCGACTCCTCCTCGCTGCTCTCGGAGTCCTCCTGTGGGCTCTTGACTGGCCCCGGCTGGGCCTGCGCTGCAGTGGCCACTGCCTTCCCCACGGCTGGCACGGACCCCCGGCCCTTCACCGAGACAGCATTGTTCCGGGGGGCTCTCGCTGGTGGCTTTACCTGAATGGTGAGAAGGTAGCAGCATTAGGGAAGGAAGCAGAGAGCACGGTTCTATTTAGGTTAAGCCCACCCATGGTGTGACTGTGTGGAAGTCTCTCCCGCCTGTGCAGGGCCCTGGCTAGGCTGAGCCAACTGTATGCTCCTCCCGGGCTCCACTCCACCTCCGGCACCTGGGCTTCTGGTCCCACTTGCCTTGGCCAGGGACTCCTGCTTGGCTGGAGCAGCTGCAGTGACCACTTTTCCCGGAGCTGATGCTGCCCCTTTGGCTGAAGCTGCTCTGGTGGGAGCTGGGCTGGCTTTGCTCTGAGGAGTTTTCACTGAGGCCTTCACCTGGAAGGAGACACAGGAATTACGGAAGGGAAAAGGTGAGATGCAGCAGAGTGGTTAGCCAAGAACACCGATTCTGGAGTCAGATGCCTGAGTTTGGATTCTTGCTCATCCATTTAATACCTGTGTGAACCTGGGCAAATCATTGACTTCTGTGGTCTCAGTTTCCTTCTCTGTAAAATGGGGTTAACAACAAGGCTCACCCACAGGGTTACGAGGATTAAATGGGAAAGTCACAGTGTTTAGCATGGTGCCTGGCACATAAACTCATTTACTGTGAGCATTTTTCTTAGTGTTAGCTAAGCAGGAGCCTACCCAGGGCAGGGGTATTTTCCAGGCTCCCTTTTCAGCTAGGCGGCCACAAGTTTAACTTCTGGCTAAGAGAATGGAAGTCAAGTATACAATTCAACTTTCTTACATGGGTAGAAAACATGGGTCTTCTTCCTCCCAGGTGGAAGAAATGCTGAGGTAACAGCTGGAGCTCTAGCAGCCATCTTAGCATATGAGGCAGGAGCCAGGTACTCAGGATGGCAGAACAAGACAGAAAACCATGGCTGTTTGAGGTTTTCTTCAGTTTAACCTAATCTTAACTGATATCCAAGGGATCCTCCCAAACCCTCTCGGGGTATCCAAGCAAACACAGACCTAGAGAGATGAGGGCAACAAAGAGTAAAATCTTTGACGGTGAGATCGCTGACAGGAGTGTGAAAGCAAACCGGGCTAATGTGAAGTAGAATGAGGCATCTGGCAGTGTTTCTAGGCCCCTGCCTCATTCAGAGATGCCATCTGATCAGTGACTTCCCCCATCCACATGAGACCAAGTGAAACTAAGAATCAGCACTTCAAGAAAGAAAGCCCTCTAAAGCACAGACTGTGTCTGGCTAAGGTCAAGGCGCTCATCAGCATAGAAAAGTCATCCAGAGGGGAGCGATGTCTTTTACATTCACTTAAGAAAACAGAAGACACCAGCACGAAGTTGATCTCACAAGTCTCAATACAGTATAAAATATAACTGACTCAAGAAGCAAAAAAACCTGAATAGACCAATAATAATTTGCAAAATTGATTTAGTAATTAAAAATCTTCCACACAAAAAAATCCAGGCCCAGGTGTCTTTTTTTGGTGAATTCTATTAAGGAAGAAATAATACCAATCCAACATAAACTCTCAGAAAACAAGAGAGAGAATACTACCAAATCCAGTTCAGGAGGCCAGTATCACCTGGATACCAAACCCAGGCCAAGACATTACACAAAAACTACAGACCAATATTCCTGATGGATACAGACACAAAAACCTTAGCAAACCAAATCCAGCAACAAAGAGAAGGGAGCATGACCAAGTGGGATTTATTGCAAGAATGAAAGGTTGATTTAATACCTGAAAATCAACTAAGTGCAATATATTGCATTAATATAACAGGAAAAAAACAGTAAGATCACTTCAACAGAAAAAAGCATTTGACAAAAAATTCAACTCCAACTCATAATAAAAACTCAACAACCTAAGAACAGAAAAGAACTTCCTTGGGGTACCCAGCTGGCTCAGTCAGTGGAGCATGTGACTCTTGAACCAATGGTTGTGAGTTCAAGCCCCACATTGGGTGTAGACATTACTCAAAAATAAAATCTTAAAAAAAAAAAAACAAAAAAAACTTCCTCATACTGATAAAGGGCATCTTTGAAAAACTTAGAGCTAAAATCATACTGAACAGTGAAAGACTGAACACTATACCTTAAACGAGAAAACAAGGCAAGGGTGCCTGTTCTCACCACTCTATTCAACATTGTACTGGAGGGCCTAGCCAGTGCCATAAGGCAAGAAAAAGAAATAAGTGCCATCTAGATTGAAGAGGAAAAAGTAAAACTGTCCTTATTCACAGACAACATGGTTTGTATATAGAAAATCCCAACGAATCTACAAAAGCCAGGAAAACAGGTAAGCAAAGGTACTATCGTAAGATGTAAGGTCAACAGGGGCGCCTGGGTGGCTCAGTCGGTTAAGTGTCTGCCTTCAGCTCAGGTCATGATCCCAGGGTCCTGGGATCGAGTCCCGCATCGGGCTCCTTGCTCAGTGGGGAGCCTGCTTCTCCCTCTGCCTGCTGCTCCCCCTGCTTGGGCTGACAAATAAATAAAATCTTAAAAAAAAAAAAAAAAGATGTACGGTCAACACACAACACAAGGTCAGGCCCTAAAGGCACCGTACCACTTATTCAGCCAATCATGACACGCTGACTGACCATCTCTCCCACCCTTCTCACACAAGGGCTCTCTTCCTATGGCATTTCAATGGAGAATCACCTCCTTCTCAGTCTCTGGCACATCTGGTTTTCCAGAACCAGTCCTGTCTTTGTTCCTTTGTTTTGAACCGCAGCTCTCACGTGGACGGTTTCCTTTGAGCTGGCTGGGGTCTCTGAGCAGACCAGAGACTATCTGACTCACTTGACTCCAGCAATACTGAGCAGTGTGGGACCCACTGAGTGTGTGCAGACAGCATTTTGAGAGTGAAGCCATACAAGGATCCTCTTATTTCACCCTCACCAGAACCTCGCAACAGAGGCTTAATTATCCTTATCCTTCAGACAAGACTCCTATCAGAGGCGCCTGTCTCGGTGGAGGCAATTCAGACCTCTTGAAGCTGGGCAAGGCACCATCTTCTGACAGGGCATCAGGCTATAAAAGCTGCTCCCCTAGAGAGGGATTAGCTGCTTTATTTTGCACCTTGGAAGAATGTAAGACCCCAGAGCATAATCATGTCTGTGGTTGGAAAAGTTTGGGCCAGGATGTAGCAGAAGGATGTGTGAAAGTCAAAGGCTTTTGAGGCAGGCACACTGGGGCCCGGGCCCAGCTCGGACCCTCACTGGCTGGCTGGGCTGAAGCAGGTCAGCAAACAACTCTTCTAAGCTCTAATTTCCTCCTCCAGAAACCAAAGCAAATGAACACCCGTCCAATGGTACCGGTGGGAGGCTCAGATGGGAAGACAAATACTTAAGCAATGAACACAATGAAACTTTTCTGGGATGTGTCTGCAGCTTACAAACGGGATAGGAGCTGTTGGGCTGGGACTCCAGCAGGGCCCACGCACAGGTCAAAACCTCACTAGGGGAATCACAGGAACCTGGGTCCCACAACGCAACAGGGAGAGGGGGACAAAAAAAAAAATCCATAGAAAACGTGTGCCTTGGTATAGGGGAAAAAAAAGAAATGACTAATTTCTGAGTGGTTATTGGGGTGGGGCTGGGGGGAGAGTGACAGTTACAAATAATAAAAGGGTGAGTGAGCGCGGGGCATGAGCAATCTTCACTTTTCGCGACTTAACTCTTCCAGACTGGGAGGGGACTCCTGATTCTGTTCCCCACTGGCCTGGCCCACCCCCAGGGCGGCAGATGAGCAAGCCCGCAGTGCACAGGCTCCTCGCTGGGTGTGGTAGGTGAGATCTCGCTACATTCTCAGTCCTGCGAAGGTTGATTTCCAATTTACAGAAGAGTAAAACAAAGGCCCTGGATGGATTCCGTCACTTGCTAGGCCACGGAGCTGGGACCTGAATCCAGGCAGTTTGGCTCCAAACCCCTGCCGTCTGCCCCTGCCACACCACCTCCCTCAGTGCTTGGGGCAGTTTACTCGGGCCAGGCGCTCCCCCACCCTCTGGGCCTTCACACAGGCCAGTTTCTTTGCCTGCAACACTCCATTTCACCCGGCCAGCTCTCTCAGCCCAGTTGCCGGTGCCACTTCCTCCAGAAGGCCTGCCTTCCTGGACACCCCTAGACGCTACCACCAGCCATGCTGTTAGCCCGGGTATGCGCTCCATTCTCAGCCTTAGCACACACCATCCTGGAATAACCTGGGCACACGTCCACGCCCCCATCTAGACTAGGAACTCCCTGAGGGAGACCGGACAGCGCCTGGCAGATGGGGTGCTCAACAAAGCTTGTGGAAGGCATAAGGAATCCCAATGGGAGCTCAAAAGGCCACAGGGGAGACCTTGCTGTCTCTGACAGGCGGAAGAGACTGAGTGAAAAGTGGGGGATGAGGCTGAGCTGAGGCTGCCCTTGAGGTTTCTGCACACCCGGGGGGGCGAGGGCAAGAGCAGCCCAGAAAAGCCTCTCCTCAGCCCTGCCCCAGGCTCTGGCGTGGCTGGGAGGGGCTGGGCCTTCCTCGGCCTCACCTGGGCTAGAGCTTCAGCCGCCTCCTCACTGTCGGAGTCCTCCTCGCTGCTCTCCAAGGAGTCTTCCTGCGCCTCAGCTGTGACCGGTGCCGCTGCAGGCCCTGCCTTCCCAGGGGGTGCTGGGGCAGTCCCTTGGCCTGAGGTCCCCTTGGTGGGTGTGGAGGCAGCTTTCAGGGCGACACCTTTCCCCACAGGCTTTGCCTGGAATGACAGGGAAGAGAAGCGGGTCACAGGTGCTCCAGGGGCCATGTGAGCGCTGGCCCTGAGTCAGCTGAATAAACTTGACCTCACCTGTCCCACGGCTGGGGCAGGAGCGGGGTCCTCCTCACTCTCGGACTCCTCGCTGCTTGAAGAGTGCTCTGGCCTCTGGGCACCCATGGCCATAGCTAGGGATGAGGCGCAGGCTGGAGAAGTTGCTGCTCCCGCCTTCCAAGGGGCTGGCGTGCCCACTCGAACCGGGGGGACCTTGGCAGGTGCTGGGGTGATGGGGGTGCCCTTCCTTGGGGAGGCCTTGGTCTGGGGTGTTCTCACAGCTGGTTTTGCCTGAGAGGAAGCAGAAGTCAGACGCTAGAGAAGGAGCCTGAATTCAGAGCCCCCATCTGCTCTGGGGTGGAGCCCTGCTGCCATCCTTCCCCTCTGCTCCCTGGGGAGCTGACTGGTGGGAGTGGTGAGGTCAGGCTGCAGAGCGGCCCCGCCTGGGCCCCACCTGGGCTGGAGCCACGGCTGCAGGCGCCTCCTCTTCACTGTCTGACTCCTCCTCACTGCTCTCTGAGTCATCCTTGGACCCCTCGGCCTTGCCCTGGGTGGCCACAGGCCATGCCTTCTGAGGGGACCCCTTGGCAGGACCTGAGGCAGCTCTGACCTGGAGGATTTTCCCGGAGGACTTTGCCTGCAGTGAGACACACAGGATCAGGGGAGGGAGTGGAGAGCATGGCTGTGTGCAGACACACAAACTGAGGGCAAGCAGAGTCAGTGTGTGTGTGTGTGTGTGGTGTGTGTGGTGGGGGGCGTGCTCCCGACACTGAGGGGGAGGGAAGAGCCTTACAGACAGGGGCCTCACCTGGGCGGGCGCCTCCCCGTCGCTGTCTGATTCCTCCTCGCTGCTGCTCTCAGAGCCCTCCTCCTGCTTCCCTACTCGGGGGGCTGCTGGCCCCACCTTCTGAGGGGGCCCCTTGACAGGGCCCGAGGCAGCTCTGAGCTGGGAGTTTTGCCCCATGGGCTTTGCCTGGGAGTAACAAAAGACAGGATCAGGGCAGGGGCCCACAGGGGACTGCGTTCGAGGGGAGACAGGCGGGGAGAAGGCAAATGCAGGGCGCAGGGCCCCAGGTGCAGAGGGGGAAGACAAGCCGACAGACAGGCTCTCCAGTCAGGGGCACCTGCAGCCTCACCTGAGCAGGGCTCTTGGCTGGGGGCACAGCTGCTGGGGCCTCCCCCTCGCTGTCGGACTCTTCAGTGCTACTCTCTGGGCCTTCTTCCCCCTTCCCCGTCCCCACCTGGGCGGCTGCAGACCCTGCCTTGCCAGGTGGCACTGCAGGGGCCCCTTTCCTAGGGGACTCCTTGGCAGAAGCTGAGGCAGCTTTGACCTGGGGGGTCTTCCCTGAAGGCTTCACCTGAAGGGAGACAAACGGAATCAGGGAGGGGAGCCCAGAGAGCGGACATGAGGAGGAGACACAAGAGACCGGACAGAGCAAAGGACATCACACATAGCCCAGGGGAGAAGGGGTGCGACTCTGAGCATGTCTAGGGCTCTCGCAGAGGGCAGAACAAGCCCGCAGAGGGCCTTCAGGGGAGGGGCGCGGGCTGCACAGACTCTCCCTCCCCAGGCCTCACCTGAAGTGGCGTCTTGGCAGCCGGCGCCTCCTCCTCACTGTCGGACTCCTCCTCACTGGTGCTCTCCGAGTCCTCCTTTGGCTTCCTGGCCTTGGCCTGGGCAGCTGCAGACCCTGCCTTCCCAGGGGGTGCCGGGGTGGCCCCTTTCCCAGGGGTCCCCTTGACAGGACCCGAGGCAGCTCTGACCTGGACAATTTTCTCTGAGGCCTTCACCTAGTAAAAGAGAAAGGGTGGTTTGTTCCTCTCCTCACCCTCTGGTGGTGCCTTCAGGACAAAGCGGAGGCCTTAGTTGGGGCTCACAAGACGCCCCCGCTTCTCTCCTCACTGTCTACCTTGACTGGTGCTCAGGCCTGGCCTATCAGCTTCACTCTCTCACTCCTGGGGCCTTCACAGCCCTGCCCATCTCCCTAGGCCACCACTGCCTCCTCCTCTGGGTCTGAGACAGACGCCAGTCCCTTTGGCAGTCCTCCCTGAGGCCCCTCCCTGCACTGCTCCCAAAGTTGCCCATACACAGGGGTCAGAGCCTCCCTCGGCCAGGCTCCCCCGCTGGGAGAGCTCTGTGAGCACGGGCACCAAGTCTGGCTTGGCCCACTTCCGCGCCCTCTGTGTGGCAGGTCCCCGATGTCTCTGTAAGGCCTTCCCTGAGGACTCTATCTCGATTGCCATTCCTACAGCCCAGCCCACCTTACCTTCCTCTTTAACAGCCAGCAAATTGAACCTTATTTCCTACATCTCCCCTGACCATCCAGACCTGGGCCTCACCTGGCCAGCTCAGGGCTGTGGGGCCTTTTCCCACCACTATCTGATGCTTTCCTCCTCCTGGCTCTCCAGCCCCAACAGCCTCCCAGCCCCACTGCTTTCTCTTTAGATGTGCCCAGAGCCCTGGCCACCAGCCCAGAGGAGGGGATCCCAGCAGACGGGAGTTAACAGGATTCCTGTTAGCTAACAAACCATGATTTGGCCCGAGAAGCCAGACAACCAGGCAATTAAAACTTAAGTCCCTTCACAATAGGGCCAGCTGGCCACATCCCATTCACTAGACAAGGAAGCCGAGGTAAAGGGGTGTTAGTGACGGAGTGGGGTGCAGGACCACCCTGTAGGAAGCAGCCCTTCTAGGCTGCTGCTCGGGCAAGAGGGGCAATTCCCACAGGTGGCTGACGCAAGCCCAACTGTCCTTGCCCTTCAACTTTCACACCTCCGCCTCCTGCTCCCCAAACCCCAAGGTGAGTCTTTTTTTTTTTTTTTTAAAGATTTTATTTACTTGACAGAGAGAGAGAGATAGCAAGAGCAGAAACACAAGCAGGGGGAGTGGGAGAGGGAGAAGCAGGCTTCCCGCCGAGCAGGGAGCCTAACGCGGGGCTCGATCCCAGGACCCTGGGACCATGACCTGAACTGAAGGCAGACGCTTAACGACTGAGCCACCCAGGCGCCCCCCCAAGGTGAGTCTTATCTGGCAGAGAAGGTGCTCATCATGTAGCCACTCGGCCAGCCTCTGCTGGCCATGGAAGACTCCCTGGCTACTGGGGGATGTGGGGCGCCGAGGGGTAGTCCACCCCCAGGCCTCACCTGGTGGGGTGGCTCCGCAGGGGCCCCCTCCTCGCTCTCAGACTCCTCTTCACTGCTCTCTGAGTCCTCTTCCGGCTCCTTGGCCTTGCTGGCTGGGGTCAGAGCACCTCCTCTGACTTGGGGTGTCACATCCCCTGCCTTCCCAGGGGTTGGGGCTGCCCCTCTCCCAAGAGGGTCCTTGGCAGGGGCTGGTGAGGCTTTGACCTGGGGTGGTTTTACTGAAGGTTTCATCTGGAACAAGAACATGCGATTAGGGAAAAATTAATCATCTTTGCCTCTGAGGGGTAGGAGAGGCTTTATGATTTATAAAGTCCTTTCCTTGTATCACCTGATTCTCAAATCCCTGAGACAGATGCTATCTTTACACTCATTTTCCAGAAAAGGACAAGAAGTTCAGGGAGGTTAAGTCATTCAAGACCAATATGAAGGGCAAAGTCATGACTAGAACCCATGTCTGGGTGGCCTTGGGGGCAGAACCCTCGAACACTATGCTCTTCTGCCACCTGGAGGCTCACCCCATCCGCCCCTTCGACTACAGTATCTGATCATGGTGGCCATCCCAAGGGCCGGGAGGCCAGCATTTGAACTCTAGTCTCGCCAGTGGCTTGTTCAGGCACATTCCTCTCCTCTATGGGCTCTTTCTTAGACTTCTCAAACTCTGACATCTCCAAGGCAGGCAGTGCCCTACCTCCACCTCTGTCATCAGATTTCACCTGACCCCAGGTTCCCGGGGCAGCCATCTCCTCAATCACAGACTCCTCACTACTGTTAGGGCCCTGTGCTGGCCTCTGGCCCACTGAAGCGGTGTGTCTGACTTCTGGCTTTCCGGGGCGCCCTGATGGCTGTAGCCAGATGGGGATGGGATGTGGGGAGCGGCCCTCGGCCAGGCCTGGGGCAGACAGGAGGTTACTGGGTGAGGCAGGAAGCAAGGGAGAAGTACTCTGGGCACCAGATCAACCCTCCCGCCCCGATCCTTGCTGGTTCTCCCTCCACAGGCCTTTTCTAGTAGGCGCCCTGGCGCCTGCCACCAGCCTCACTCCGCCAGCTTCAACTGTCTTGCTACTTTCCCTCTGCCCTGTCCTCCAACCCAGGCCACGACCAGCAACCTTTCTCCAACGTAAATCAGGCCACCTTACCTCCATGCCTAAAACTTTGAGATGGCTTCTCACAGAGCCTAGAGCACAGCCCAAACTCCTGCTGGCCCTCACGGACCGGCAGCAGGATGGGGCCCCTGCCCACCTGACCCTTCTTCTGTGACGTGCACCTCGTCTACGGCACCACATCCTTGTTGCTGCCCCTCGGGGCTCTCTACCTTTCCCCTAGCAACCTTCAGCGCTGCAGTCAAACTTCTGAGGGCCCCTCCACGTCCCCACAGCAGCAGGAATCATGCATTCCTGCCTGCCACTATATTCCCAAGGCCCAGGTGCCCCGTAAAGAAAGACTCCCTGGTCACAGTTCACAGAAGAGCTAAGGCCACAGACCAATACCTAACGATCTGACCATCTCTGACCACGCGCCCAGGCCTGGCATTCACCAGCGTGCCCAGAGCCCCTCACCCAACTCACCTGACCGCACCACGGGACAGCCGCCCTCCTGCCCCTGGGCCTTGGCTCACGTAGCTCTTCCTGCTTAAACACTTTCCCCCACATCCCTTCCTGGTGAGTCCCCTGTGCGTCGAGGCCCTGCTCCAGTGCCACCTCTCCCAGGAAGGCTCCTCTTGTCCCACAGACAGGTTGGCGACCCTCCCCGCCAACCCGAGACCTCTCTCGTGCCCAAGGTGTGATGAGCAGCACCTGGCTCCCCTCCCCAGGCCTTGGCCTTTCCAGCTCCCAGTCCCCCTGAAACACTGGCTGAACTGATTTGGCCCTGTTGGTGTGTGAAGCCCCGGCCAGGCCTCTGGGAGGGTTAGAGGTTCGCAGAGGGCAGCTCCCGAGGATGGTGGCCATTACCTCCACATAGGTCTCATCGCTCGAGCTGGAGGTCTCCTCGCTGGAGCTGTCGGCCTGGTTGGCTGATGCCATTCCTGAGGGAGGGGGAGGGAGAGGACTGAGGGCCTGCCCTTCCAGACTGCCCTCCCCTCACCAGCACTCTGCCACGCCAGCCAACGAGAGGCACGTGCCCTGTGCTCACTTCGCGCGTGCGGAGCGTCTGCCCCACCTATGCCGAAACCCCGTGGCTGAGGCACGTGCCACTCGAACCCCTGCGTTCCCACACCCCTTTTGCCCTGGGAAGCATTAGACTAGGTCCTAACACACACATGCCAGCGTTTGATGGGTCAGAGATCTCCTTCCATCATCATCACACTGAGGCAGGCAGGGAAATGCCTATTTGCCTATTTGACATGAGAAACTGAGGCAAACCCAGGCCTCTCACTTTAGCCTCAGCCTTTACAGTGGGCCCCGGACCCACTTGAGAGCAATAAACCAGAGAATGTTCCACCACCACCCAGTCTGCTCCAACTCCCTTGGCAAAGCCTGATGTGTCCCGGCAGCAGACCCTCCCTCATCGAGGTGCGGAGCCCTTACTGCCATGGACACAAACCTCTAAATTCCAGAATGTCCCAGAGCTGGATAAAGCAGTGCCCGGGGCCTGCCTCCCCAGCCCAAACTCAGGGGGGGCTTGGCGTCTAGAGGTCAGCGCTGCTCACCAGGCTTGGCCGTGGTTCCGAGGGCCGGGACGCTGCCCTCCTCCTCAGTTTCTGAGACCAGGATGGTATTTGCCGAGGGCCCTGCTGACTTCCTGGGGGACCTCCCAGACAGAAGGTGGGCCACTGCCTTTCCAGAGGCCGGATGTGGTGTGGAGTTCACCATCTGGCTGGCTTTCTTGGTCTTTGCCTACAAAGGACAGGGGTGACAGATGTGCCGGGTGTGGCTTGGTGAATGACAAGCACAGACCCCTTCCTAGCTGTGAGAGTTTGGGCAAATTCCCTCCCTCGGTCTGTTTCTTCATCTTTAAGGTGAGGCGAAAGCCCAGTTACAGTTCCTGGGACACAGGAGTTACTTGCTAAGTGGTAACGAGCCGCCAGCTGTGGTTCCTAGCACTTCTTCGCATTGCTGCTAGCGCACCAAGCAGCTCAGGGACGCGGCTCAGCGTCCTTGTGTGTCCGATGCTGCTTTATGGACTACCAGCACACGGTATTCCTAAGTGGTTTCAGTCTAGAAAATGAGCTTCGCGCTTTCAGAACCATAGGTGTCTTGTTCACTGTGGTGCCCCCATTGCCTCCCACAGTGGCTGGAAAGTAACTGGATGGGTCACAAGTTGTTGGCTGAACAGGAGAATGCGGGGACGATGGGGAGAAAGAAGCTGTTACAGGTGCATACTGTGCCCAGGGGCCCAGAGCAGTGGGCATCGTTCCCACCTTACAGGAAAGGAAACTGAGGCCCAGAGAGGTGAAGGGACGCGCTAGGGATCACACAGCTGGTGACAAAGGCTGACATGTGAATCCAAGTCAGTCCGTTACCCACAACCCTATCCTTCTCTGACGCAGGGGACTGTCCCCTGTAGGGCACTTCACTCCCATAGGCCACAGCTTAGAAGGTGGTCCTACTCACCTTGGCTTTTTCTTTTGCGCTTGATGGCAAAACTGGCCCTGCCACTGAGGAGTTGGTAGACACTAGTCTTGGGGCTGCAAGACAGAAACACCCGCGGGATGAGCCAGATGAGTTTTCTCTCATTAAGAACAGCCAACAGGTCTCGGCTCACCTGACAGTTCAACTGGTATGGCTGCCTGGTGCTGGCACGAGGACCTGAGGCTGAGCCCAGACTTGTGGAAAAGAGCTCTGGGGTGCAGGAGCCCCAGCCAGAAGGAGCAAGAGGGCAGGGAGACGTGAAAGCCACGGGTCCGAGTCCCCCAGGGAATCCCGACTCCCTGCTGGCATGAGACACTGGTGCCCCCAGAGGAAAGGGCTGGCTCACAGGCGTGCTGCACACCTCAGTGGCCTGGCCCAACTTCAGGGTGGGCCAGCCTGACAGGTGACCACACTGCAGCCCAAGAGTCACGCAGCAGGACGGGGGCAGTGGTCAGCCAGCCCGCCCCCGGGGCCACAGAGAAAGCTGCTCGGGATTTCAAGGGTTTCTAGCGGAAAGGCAGCTGAACCATGGGCCCGGGAACTGGTCAGATGTTGAGACTCACAGATTCCTGGTGCTCTTACACCAGGAGACTGTCTCCCCAGATCTCAGACAGAACAAGATTTCTAGGGTGTGCTGTGAATTAGAGAGGACACTGTGGAGATGAACAGCATGGTCTAATTCCCTTCCTGGCACTTTAACTCCATCTCCCTCTCTTTTTAATTTTAGATACGTGTGTAAGTGGAGAGGAAGTACAGCGAACCACACAGCCCCAACCATTAGCAACTTGTGGCCAATGTGATGTCACCCAGCCTTTCTGGCACCCTTCCCCATCAAGTACGATTCTGAAGAGAACACCAGACATTGTACCACACTGCCCACAAATATTTCCATATGCCTCTCTCAACGGGGACTCAATTATGATTGTTATCACAGGAAAAATTCATAAGGTATCACTAAATAAAAGTCCATTAATATCAAATATCAGTCAGTACGAAACTGACCAATTTTTGTGTTACAAAGTGTGTAGATACGGATGTGTGCACAGACGGATGGCTGTCTCTGTAGGACCAGATGCAAAGGGGAGAGCTGTAAAGCCACCCGCCAGGATACATTGAGTGGGGGAAGGGAACCAGGATAGGAGAGCAGAAAACCTCTCATTTTTCTTCCACGTGCTTCCGTATGGTTCAAAGTGAACTTGTTTTGCAATTGTAATTTTAAAAGATTAAGAAAGATATAAGATATATATTCAATATGATCTTGAATATTTTTAAAAACAGGCTCAGGAAAAATAAATGGAAGAATAATTTGCCAAATCGTAGGTGGTGAGAGTATGGGTAATTTTTTTCCTGCCTTTTTAACCAGTCATTTTCATATATCCTATAATGAACAGTCCACAGTGAATCCCAGATTTCTTTGACAATCGGAAAATATACCTAAAATTAAGAAATTACCTTCTACGTAGGCAAAACCCAATTACCTTGCAGCGAAAAAGGACGATTCCTCTGTGGAGTTATAGGTGTGTTGGTTAAAGCACGAACTGTCCTGAGGACTTGGGGAGAAGGGGCTGGGCAGGCCTCATGGGGTCACCCCTGCGAGAGCTCTGAAAGCAGAGTGCCCAGGACAGCCTCCCCAAGCCACCTTGTACTCTTCCAGAGCAACGGAAAGCAAAGAACCTCTCCCACAGCCCACAGGCCACACTGAAGGGGTGCCCGCCAGCTGCCCTCCGAGATCTTTCCAGCAGTTCTTCTACAAGTGTGGGCTTCTTTCCATCTTTATCAGAATCCCCGGGGGCTTGTACCAACATAGCCGCTGTACCCCAAATCAGGCTGTAAGGGCCCAGCCCAGTTTTTGTTCACCACTGGATTCCCAGTCCCCGGCACACAATGTCTGGCACGAGAAAGGCCGCAACTAAATATTGCAATATGTATGCGAGATGCTTCCAATCGTCTCTCTAAAAGGTCCTGGTCTTCCCAGGACTCACTGGAGGAGAAGCTGGAGGCGGGCTCTCCCCCAGAACAACCCAATATCCAAAAGCCTGCTCCCCAAAGCTGCAGGGCCCCGGGCTGAGCCCCTACAAACACACCGATGGAAGCTACCCCAGCGTGCAGGACTCTTACCGGCTTTGGCGGCTTCAGCTTCCGCCTCCTCCTCTTCCTCCTCTTCTGAGCTCTCAGAGCTGCTGACGGGGTCTGACACTCGGGTCTTCTTAGCCTGCAGCGCCGCATCCTCCTCTGCCTTCCGCTTCTGACCAACCTCTGAGGTTCTGCAGGACAAGGGTGACTGGCTATACCAACCAGGTGACAAGGACACCTCCAGGAGATTTGAAAAGAAAGATATGCCCCCCCGCGCCCCCCCCAAGGAAATGTGTGTAGAGAGTTTGTGAACATGGTGTAATATACTTGTATTCTGCATTTTCCCACATTTCATAAACTATTAGTCTTCAAAATAATCAGGAAGGGTCAATAACATGATATAACAATGGCCAACAATCACTGAGTGGGATGAGCCAGCACCTGTAGGCCGTTCATAGAACCATCTAGGATCCCCCTCCTCCGGAACTTGCAGCACCTGCACTACCCTCTTTCTGGAAGACCCTGCTCAGGCCCTTCCTGTGCTTCAGGCCTCAGCGCCAATACAGACTCCTCAAAGGCCCTGCCTGATCGTGGCCCACCCCCACCAGTCTCTGCCCTGCCATCCTGTTTCATTTTCTTCAGAGCACTTTTCTCTCTCCTGCTATTCTACTTACTTCCTGCCTGACTCTCCAGCTACATAGTCAAACCCCAGGGGGTTGGGGGGGGGCTGGCAGGAACCTCTGCTGGCTCACTAAATATCTTCAGCATGTAGCTTACATCTCAAAAAATGAACAACTAAGTGACTTGCTTAGGGTCAGAGAGGAGGTTTGGAAGGCTGGGGCACAGGGCAGGACAAGCACCCAGATGGCTGAGTCCCTGGAATGTGCAAGGACCATCTCCTCTGACCTCACCCTCTCACCCCGACAGCGTCACTATCTATGCCCCGTGTTCTCCAGCTGGCTAGACGTGCTCCGACACAGTTTGCGGTCCCTTGTTCCCAGGAAGGCCACTTTTTGGGACTCCCCTGAGGTTTCATTTATTACACTTCTCAATTCATTCTGCCCCTCTCACCCCAACAGAATCTTAAAAGTTTCACAAGGGCGGGGATTTTTCTCTGGTCGGTTTCAGATATGTCAAGAACAGTTCTGGCTCATAGTAGCTGCTGCTCAATAAATATTGGGGGGGGGGTGCCTCCGATGGTCAGGTTTAGCACCTTATTTATTACTACTATACTTTACAGATGAAGACACAGACTCAAGGAAGCCAAGTTTGCCCAAGGTCAGACAGCTCGTTGTGGGGTTTGAACTTTGCTGAGAACCATTAGACTAGGCTGCCTCTGGTGGGTGTGAGGTCCTCACTGCATTCAGTACCCCTCACCCACAGAAGGGACCAGTGACAAGGAAGGGGCTCAATGAAGCAGCTCTCTAGGGAAGGAAGTGCCAGACACCTGGGCACGCTGAAGGGGGTGAGGGAGAGGAAGTGCAGGGTGCGGGGTGTGCACTGCACTCTGACCCTACCTTACAGCAGAGGAAAGCTGAGAACTGAGAGCTGATAGGGCCTTCACAGACCTTAGCTCTCCACTGGAAGCTGGGATCTCTTCCACACCATTCTTGCCTTTGCTTACACACCTCCGATGAGAGGAAACTGTAGCCTACCTCATTTTTGGATAGCTCTCATGACCCAGTGCTTATATTCAGAAGCTGAAGCCTGTCTCCCTAGAGCAGTACATCTGGGTCCCACTTCAGTCTCTCAGAGCCCCAGGGAACGGCCCGCTCCCTTCGTCCTCAGAGATTTGCAGACATATCACCGGCCCCTTTGCCATCTCTTGTCCATCCTGGACAGTTCAGTATTTTCTAATCATTCTTCATGGGACATGACTGCAGGTCCTTCACTCCTCTGGATGACTGTGGTCAGGCCAGTTCACGGAGAGAATGATTATCCCCTCCCTCCCTCTCAAACCATTCCTCTGTTGATATGCCCTTGGATTATCCCCCCTTTCCTATTTCTGCATGTTTCACAGACACTTCACACTCAACATGTCCTCCCCTTCCCTCCATCTCTCCCCCCAAATTGGGCTTGCTTCTTGCTCAGGCCCACCTTCCATGCAAGGGCATAAGCCAGGCACCTGGGAGTCGAGGAGCCCACCCCTCCAGATCATCCACAGCTCCCGGTCTCATCCCCTAATATTCCTGGAATCGACTATCTGACGCTCGACCCCCTCTGCTATTCCTGTCTCAAGCCCCATCAGCTCTTGCCTGGATGATGGTGTCCACAGCCCCAACCAGCCATGCCATCCTGCAGAGTGATCTCTCCAGTCTGTACTGCACCCTTTCATGGCTCCCCCTGCTCTTGGGACAAAGACACAACTTTTCACCATAAACGATAAGGCCTTGCATGGGGTGGACCCTGAGAGCCGTCCAGCCTCCTCTGGCCTGTGGCTGCAGCTACAGCCTCAGCACCGCAGTTCCTTCTGCCGGGCCCACTCTACCTGCCTCTCCAGACCTATTGCCTAGTTCTCTCCCCGACTCCCTGCAGCCCTTATACCAAAGGTCACCACAGGGAAACCTCTCCTAAACCCCCAAATGAGGCCCAGTTAACCCGTTTATGGGGTTTTGGCACCAGGTCCTTTTTCATAATTGTTACTACCATTTTAATTTTACACTTACTTGTTTCATTCTTTGAGGCATGCCTACCTCCCTGACTCCAATGTCAGCTCCGGGAAAGAAGGAACCATGTCTGTCTCACTCATGACAGTTATCTCCATACTCAGAATAGGACCTGGCATTTAGCGGGTAAGAACTCAATAAATGTTTGTTGACTGAATGAGTAACAAGCTGCTGAGAAGCTGTGGTCCTTGAAAGCACTGATCTCAGCTTTCAATGTTCTGTCTCACTATCAGACACCCATACCTGTGACCTGGCTTCTCGGGAGCAAAGCCAGTGTCCTCAGGGGGCTATGCAGACAGATCGCAGATCAGATTAGAATCCTAGCTTATTTCAAGCTGATGGGTTGGGGTGTCCCTACTCCACTCTTTCAGCCCCATCAGACTTACTGTTGCCAGTGAGTATAGATGTCCATAAGGGTTACAGGCTGAGTCAGGAAACTTTTCTGCAGAGAAGTAAAGAGAAAGCAGCAATTAACCCCCCAGCACAATATGGGTCCTCCTTGGGCCCAACTCTCCACGACCTCACGGGAGACTTTTTGCTCTGGAAAATATATCTGCTTGGTCCTATCAGTACCACTCAAACCTTCCAGAGACAAGCAGGGCAAGTACTTCCAGCTAAAAACTTTTAAGACAACATGTTAGTGAGAGGTACCTTTGAGAGACTGGAATTAGAAATGTTCCAGGCTAGCATTTATCCAGCAGTCCCCAACCACCCTTGCACTCTCCATGCTTAGAGGCCACAAGACAGAGTTTTTTCCACCCCTGACCTTTCAAAAGTCTTTGAAAGGCTAGGTGGGTCAATCTTCCCAGGGCAGTACAAACCACAGCCCAGACACCCAAGGTGTCCAGGTGGTATGACTGCGGTCCACTCATCCGCTGGGAAGAGACTAGAACCAAAAGGGCCAGTCCCTTGGTGGAAGCAGAGGGAACTGGGTGGAATCCAGCCCTTTAGAGCCAAGGCCAGAGGGTCCACTTTGTAAATGTCAAGAACCCAGGGTGTCAAGTGCCTCAGGGAGGTCGAGTGAGCAATGTGAGGTGAGGGCAGTATCAGGGATGCGGGCAGAATGGCCAAGAGGCTGCATCTGGAGTCAGGCACAGCTCCTCTATTAACTGGCTGAGCTAGTCTCTTCACCTCTTCAAACTTCAGGCTCTTCTTTATAACACAGGGATAAGAACAGCACCCACCTAGCAGGATGCTATCAGGCCTGAACAAGATATTCTAGTCAGTGCCCAGCACATGAGCTGATAACACAGACTCCAATTGTCTGTTTCACTCTGCTCTGCCCCAGGCACACTTGCTTCCTCACTGGCCCTCAAAAGTGCTGCTTTTCTTTCTGCCTGGAATGCTCTCTCCTGCTAACTACATAGCTCACTCCCTCACTCCTTAAGGTCTCTGCCTTCTCAGAGGTGAAATGTCAGGTGAAATGTCACCTTCTCAGTGGGGCTTCCTGATCACCCTATTTATAACTGAACCCTGATATTCTTTATCCTCTTTGCCTGCCTTATTTTTATAGCTAACACCTATGATCACCTAACACACTACATCATTAACTCTTTTTAAAAAAATACTTGTCATCTGTCTGCTCCTGCTACATTGTATGCTCCATGAGGACAAAATACCTTGGCCTAGACAAATGCCCCAGTGAAGATGGGTACTGTCTCTTACCCCACTTACCCGTTGAGTGACCTAAATGGAGTAAGAAGGCAATCAAGGTCCAGAGAGGGTTGAGAAAAACTAGGATAATGTCTTAAGGCCCATCACCCTTTAGGGAGATCCTGGGAGCAAGCATCAGGACCAGAGCCTACACCACAGCCAAAAGGGTGACTAATCAGGTCAATATCCACTTTACCAGCTTAAAACCCTCCAGTGGCTTACCACTGCTCTTCAGATAAAGACCAAACTAACTACAGTAGGGCTCTAGCCAGCTCCCTACCCCCTGTCACCCTGTACTCTATGCTTCAGCCACAGTGGACTTTCCAGAGGCCAGTACAAATGCAGCAAGTTCCCTCCCACCACAGGGCATTTGCACCTCTGCCTGGAATATCCACTTTCCTTTTCCAGGTCTCAAATCAACATCCACTTCTCGGGGAAAGCAGTCCTGGATATCCCTGACACGGGCAATTTGCCACCCTATGTCTCTCATTCTTGGCACCTAATATGTTAGGTGTACAGTTACTTTTGTGATTCTTTGATTTATGTCCCCCTACTAGATTTAGAAATGTAAACCCTAGAAGGGCTGAGGGACCGTGCTCCACATTCTATCACCAGCACCCTGAGCGCCAGAGTTGAGCGCTGAAAAAAATGAATGAAGTAAGCAATGACTCCACCACAAGCTCGCAATCCAAAGCTATCTGACCCAGTACGGGAGGGAGGAGGGCCGGAGCTTCACCTCAAGTTAAGGGGCCACAAGCCCCTTCCCTCGGCGCTCTTTCGCCTCCCTACCCTTCCCGGGGTCTGGTCGCAATTCACCCCTCAGACTCTCAGCAACCCTCTCGCCCTCCGGGGCCGCGCTGAGCCACGTGGCCCGAGACTTCGGAAACTTTAAACCGCCACTACCAGGAAGGGGGTGGAGGTAAGGGGCGCGGGAATTACAAAGCCCTGCGCGTCGGATCTCACATCCCGGCCCGCCCACTGCACAGCTGGGGAAACTGAGGCCCAGAAGGACAGGGAGCCGCAGGGGGGCAGAGGCTGCGGCTCCTTCACTACCCCTGGCCGCCTCCCAGGGCACCGCAGGGTCCGGCTCCGGGTGCCCGCCAGGCCGCTAAGGGAGGGGGCGCAGGCAGTCGCTCTCCAAAACCTGCACGCGGCCCTAGTACACGGCTCGCGCACGCTTACCTGGCCGCTCTGCTCCTTCACTTCCCGCGCAGCGCGCACATAGCCCGCCTGCAACAGATGCTGGTAGATCAGGGGAAGCAACTCCCGGCGCTTCCTGGCCTCGGCCATGCCGGCGAAACCCGGCCCGTCCGCTCACCTGCACGCCCCCCTCAGTCCCCGCCCGCCACTTCCCTCGTGCCCTTAGACCTCGCGCGCCCCACTTCCGGCTCCTCTTTAGCCCCGCGCCGCGCGGCGCGCCGGGAAATGTAGTCTTATTTCCTGGAGTGGCCGGCCCCGCCCCGGCGGGTGAAAGGGGCGGAGGCTTGGAGGATAACGAGGCCTCCCATTGGCGGGGGAGGGCGTGGTCAGGCTTAGACACGCCTCCTGGCCTTGCGACGAATGACTCCCTCTTAAATCCCCTAGACTTGCTCACTGAAGGCATTTGTGTTCCATGTTCGCTGTGACGTCTGCGATAGGGTTTTACTCATCTCTGAACATCTTAACCTGCATCTTTCTCTGGTCCCGAACTTCCAGTTACCCACTCATTTATTCACTTCACAGAGTTTTTAGGACCAATGACTATTTGTCATTCATTCATTGCCTAAATCGTTTTTGAGCACCATACTTTAGGCCAAGTGCTCAGCTAGAATGGAGGGATAAAAAGATGGATAAGAAATGATGGCTACCCTTAAGGCTCAAGGGAGATTCGGTAACCAAGCAACTATGGTTCAATGCCTTGAGTGCATTGTCAGGGACAGGCACAGCCTGTGGGAGCCGGGAGGAGGGGCACCTAACCCCAAAGAGACATCTAATTTGAGGCTTAAAGATGGAGCAGGAATTTCTAGGTGCAGAAGAGAGGACTGGCATTTCAGGCAGAGGGCACTGCCTGTATACAGACAGGAGAAACCACCCTGGTATAGGCTGGGAAGCCAAAACATAGAACCTGGTCTGTGCCGGTAGGCTGTAGTTGTGGGAAAGAGGGGATGAGTAAGGACGCAGGAGGATGGAGAAGTAAACAGGCCCTACAGCATCCTCTCCTGCTGAGCAGAGCTTGCACTTTGTTCCAAAGGTGATAGGTAATCTCTGACTGGTTTTATGTAGGAGGGTGACCTGGGTTTGTGTTTTTAAGAGATTTCTATCACCAAAATGTGGAGGATGGATTTGTGGAGAACAAAACTAGATGTGAGGTTGTTGTACTTATTGAGGGGAGGTTGGCAGGGAGGGGATGAGGTAGGCTGGGGAATATTTGAATCAGCTCTTTTTAACTTCATGGACCCATTGAGAAACTGAAGATAGCATGAACCACCTAGACTTTGCTGTAGAAAATTTTGAATGTGTACAGACACATAACATATTCAAACCAATTTTAGGACGGGGATAAGCGCATAACTGAACCTCCTAGAGTTAGGAGCTACAGCTCCGGGAAGCAACAGGGACAGGACCAGGTGACTGAATACAGTGAGTGAGGAAGAGGGAGGAGAGGAATCTGCATTCAGCCATTTAGTAAAATATTTATTGAGTACCTACTATTGGGATGAAGTAGTCTCCACCCCAACAGAGCTTGAAGTCTAAAGGGGGAGACACAGGCTAAACAGTCATATGAACACTTTGTTACAAACAGTGAGTCCAGGCAGAGAGGAAAAGAATAGAGTTTTCTTATGGAACAGTAAACACTGTGTGGGAGTCACACAGCTGGGGTTCAAATTCTGGCTTTGCTTCTTGTTAACTAGGGAACCTCAGCTTCTTCATCTGTAAAATAGAGATAATTGTAATATCTACCTCATAGGGCTGTCATGAGGAGTAACTGAGTTCTAAGCAGAAATGCTAAGAAGAGCTTCTAACAATAGTGCTGTGCCTAGATGTATGTTAGCCATTATTGTGAAAGCATTTAACAGGAAGGAGGGATCTATCCTTTCTTGGGGGTTAGGGAAGGATTCCCTGAGAAAGTGATGTTTGTGAGGAAATCTGAATGATGTGTAGGTGATGATGGGGGGGGGCGGGGGATTCCTGGGCAGAGGGAAGAACCTGTGCAAAGGGCCTGAGGCAGAAGGTGCAGCTGAGGGAAGAGGCGAGACAAGGCCTTGGTAGGAAGGCTTAGGGGGAGAGCAGGGGAACTGGGGAATGTGGAAGGTGGGCACAGGCAGATTCCACATTAAGGAATCTTTCTTTTCATCTTAAGCATGATAGGAAGCCACTGACAGTGTAGGCCCAAGAAGGACAGGATGATTTTTCATTTTAATGTGACCTGTGTGAATGCCTGTGGAGAGTGGAGTAGGGTGTGTATGCGTCCATGCCAGAAGGCAAGTTAGGGTTAGGAGGGCAGGCAGGCATCCAGGGAGAATATAATGGGGCAATGTTGGTAGCAGCGGAGGTGGAGAGTGGTGGAAGATTCCAGAGTTGTCAGGAAGTAAAATTGTCACAGAGATGTGGTGGAATGGAGGGCAGGGCAGAGGGAGTGTCAGGATGGACTGTGAGGTTTTGTGCAGCCCGGCAAGCAGCGACTTCCCCTGAGAAGGGGAGGCCTGGAGAGGACAGGGATGGGGCAGAGTGGGGAGGGGAGGGTGACGAGGGGGCCAGGAAAAGCCGAGTTCCACTTTAGGCTGGTGGAGCTTGAAATGCCTTTGAGACGTGGAGTGCAGGTGTCGGGTAGGCACTTGGGGGCCTGGGCTTGGACCCACACGAAGATGGGAAGTTGTCAGAAGAGAGATGATAATTGAGGCTGCGCACAGCTGAGGGCCCGGTGGACCAGGGGGCAGAAGGCAGACAGAGGAGAGAAGGTGGCCCAGGAGGGAGCCCTGAGGCATACCCACAGGGTAGGACTGCGCAGAGGAGGATGCACCTGGCAAGGCTGAGAAGGAGCGAGCAGAGAGGCAGGAGAAAACCCAGGAGGGTGGGTGTAGGGAAGGAAGGCAAGGGATGAGTTTCAGGAAGGTGGGGCGAGCCCATGGGGAATGCTCTAAGAAGTCAGATGGGATGAGGGTGGGACCGTGAGCTTTGGTTTAATGATGGCTGTGGCAACTGTTGACGGCTTTAGGGAGCGCTTCTTCTGTGAGTGATGGAGAAGGTCAGGTGGCAGTGGTCTGATGAGTGAAGGGGGGATGAAGGAGGCAGTGGGTCTTTGGAGAAGTTTCTGTGCGAAGGGGAGGAGAGAGACAGTGTGCCAGGGTCGGTGTGTGTGCTGGGGGAAGTGTGTTATAAGGTGCAAGAGAGCTGGGTTTGTTTAAAGGCAGATCAAGGGGAGAGAGCTTAATTAGGGGTGTAGGGAACAGGGGAGATAATCAGCAAGTGATGCTCAGGAGCATATGCAAGAGGGAATGGGATCAGGCATGTGGGTGGAGGGGTTGGTCTCAGAGAGGAGGAGGGATGACTTCTCTAGAACCAAAAGAAGGAACAAAGAGAGGATGGGTGCAGATGTAGATGTAGGTTTGTAGTGGGATGCTAAGGGAGATTTCATCTTGAGCTTCTATTTTTTCTGCGAAGTGGGAGGCAAGGTCCTCTGCTGAGAGCGAGGAAGAGGTGGTGAAGAGTCTGGAGGAAGGAGGAGAATGAGCATTCCGAGTTGGGAAGCAAACTTGCCCACAAAATCCCCAATTGCCTGATAGTGTCGACAACCCAATTGAGGCTGGTGATCGTTAATTTACGCGCGTCCCGTTCCGTCCCGCTAAGAGATTTCCCCCTCCGGAGTCACCTCCCCAGGTGCAGGCCGGGGGCAAGTACTTAGTGGGGTTTATCTAGAGGCCTCGGGTTTTGCCAGATGGGTAAGGAAAAGAGGCACAGGGGTCTACAGTGTTTGCAAGAGAGGTGCTCAGTCTCTGGGGTCTGGGATCTGGACTGGGCAGGGAGGGAAGTGGAGACGGATGGAGTCAATTTTCAGGGAGAGAGCGGAAGCCTCTGGGGAATGGGCCACCATGAGGTTGATAACCAGCAGCCAGAGCTGAAAGACAGTTGGCAACTTCAGTTGATGGCAATGCCCAGGTTCCTGATTGGGGGGCTGGATGGGCCACTGACTGAGATAAGTCAATAGGCTGATGAGCATACAAATCTTTGGGTAAATCTAAGCTTTTTTTCACCCCTCCAAGAACTTATTTTCACCCCCGTGGGGTATTATCACCCTCACTGAGAATGAATTTTCGTAGGATATACATTTCCCGAGGGCAGATTTGGGGTTGTCTTGTCGGCTGTGTTACCTCCAACACCAGTCAACAAATATTGGCAAATGCAACGGTGATTATAGCCTGTCTCCTGAGGAAGAAAGGAGGGCAGAGCAGGCAGGGCACACGTCGTGAGTACAAGCCTGGAAGCAGAAATGTGGAAGCTTCTAGAAGTCAATGGAGAGGGTACTGGGTCATGAGTCTTTGGCTGACCTTGGGAAAAAGGAAGAACTGATATTAAATTAAAAAACAAAAACAAAACCAGGATGGTCTAATACCTTCTGTCTGGCAACAGGTTGTTTGTTTTTGTTTTGCTCCTGATAGAATTCATTTTAAGCACTTATGTTTTATCCTTGGCTCCTGGGAGGCTGCCTCTTATGTGGACAATTTTTTTTATTTCCTTGATTTTTTTAAATCATACCCTTCACTGAATTGCCTCAGGGCCCAAGCACAAAATTAAAACATTAAACTGATAAAATATAACATGGCAGCAATTAAGACAGCAGCAAACAAAACAGTGCATTAAAAAAAAAATTAGCCTCAGAGCATTTTTTTTTTTTTTTTTACCGGTTAGAAAAAGATGGCTTTGTTAGTGGTAGAAGCCAGAAGCTTCCAGACCACCCAACTGCGAGTGCCTCTGGGGTAAGCAGCACGCCTTAGTCATCTTGAATTCTCAAGCAGGGCACAGTGAGGGCACTCAGGAAATGAGTTAAGGAGGGACTGTCAGCAGAGGGGAAGGAAGCTAAGCAGGTGGGACACTATACCCTTCTTTTCCCAGCAGGATGGCTCCTGCACTGAGTTGGAAGGTAGCATGATATAGGGGAGAGGTTACTGAGCCAGGAGTCAGGAAACTGCCTTTTTGGCCAGGCTCTGCTGTGCGACCTTGGGCCAGTCTCTTGACCTCTCTGAACCTCAACATTTCTACTGGTTGGAGAGGTTGGACAAAAGCCCTTCTGGCATTGGAACTCTCAAGAGAGGGGCCCATCTGGGAAGGCTGCCTTTGGCCCCAGAACCCAAA